GGTTAACTTTTATTGCTGATTGGTTCCCGGTGGTTGTTTGTCAGCAAGGAATAAAAGAATCAGTATATATGCCCTTATATATCTTTTGTGTACAAGCACTTTTTTTTATAAATAATGTAAATAATAGCTACATACTTGATACGGCTATTTTTATTTCTTTTTTTCCCTCTTCTCTTTTATTGTTGACGTCTTAGTAGTGCAGGTTTAACTAAAACTATTAAAAATTGACAAATAAATAATGTAGGGGCTTTGTAGGTTAAATGAGGAAGTGTGACTTCAACTTCACCTTTTGTATCTTGTAATGCAATAAAGTCATATTATTATTTAAAACTAACCAAATCACAAAAACAGATACCTATCATATTTGAATAATAACTAAGCTAAAGTGTGAATGGATTGAAAACGAAAACCATTTTATTACGCAATAACCTCACTTTCAATTTATCTGCGTTTTGCATCGTTTTCCCTCAACACGACAGAGGGCACGTATGAATAAATCGAAGAAGAAACAGGCTCGAACGGGAAATTCAACCCGCGACGAACCGAACGTCGATATTTTTCAACGAGTCAATTCGATCAGCTCCACGAATAGAGCGATAAAGCGTCATTCGCGTTATAATATTTATATAATAAAAAAAATGTTAGCACGTTGGCATCATTTTCAAATTCGCGAGGAACATTAAATTCGGCCATTCAGAACGAGTGAATCAGCGCGAAAACTTTTTCCCGATTTGCGATCGTAAAATCGCATAACCGCGTAAATAATTCGGGACGGTGGCGGAGGCGCCACGACGCTTGAGAAAACGATAGAAGCGAGTATGTTTATTTATTTACACTACGAATGGGAATGGGAATCTTTCGCTATTACTTGTGCAAATTTTAATATTTACCAATATTTGTGAGATGTGAAGGACATTTTCTACAGGGTGCATGCACAATTAAATTACATCGATTTTGCGAAAGTTGAATACTGGTCCGCAGGAGCACGATAGAAAAACCTTTCATAATAAAAAGCTGCTTCGCGCTACGAAGTTGCCCCACGCAGTGACGATTTTTCGAAAGCTATCTTGTTTTTATTGCTGCTCCTACTTCCCCTTTTAAATTTCTTATGAAATTGTAAACATTTAAAACCAAAATTGTTTGGCATCCGAAGACAAATGGGTCCGTTTTTTTATTTGCTGAGTTATTGGTATTGGTATTAAAGGGGGAGCCCTGGCGGGCGTCCAAGCACTTAGGCCACCAGATGGGCCCGTTGTTCCCCCAGGCCGCTCTAGAGGGCGTCCAGAATGCCGCCCCTCCTGTAGAAGGTCAGCAACTCCTTTAGCCCAATACCGTGCACTGAGTCCGGATCGATCAGGGCCGTTCCGAAGACATGTCAAGGCAAGGCACTCGGTGAGCAGATGATGCCTCCTAAGCCTGCAGCCTGCCTGTGTAGGTCCCTGTTAGTGATCTACACTCCCTTCTGGTCAGTCTAAGCAGCTCCCTGGTCCGAGGAAGGGCGGGCCATCCATCAAAAGCCTCGCCTGCTTCATTCCCGGAGCAACTCTCCAGCCCCCCGCGGCCCGGTCTCTCGCCCAGGCTTCGAGAGCTCCCCGCCCCACACACGGGGCGATCCCCAAGCGGGGCTCTGGCCCTATATGCCGCCTATGCGAGGAGCCCTCTGTGGCTAAGGCGTCCGCTGCCTCATTGTCCCGGATACCGGTGTGACCCGGGACTCAGACTGAGGTAGTTCGTCTTCTAAATTTTCATTAGGTTCGACTACCATCTCCACTTCGTCTTCAAATTCTGTTTCATATCTTCTTCTAACAGGGAAACGTATGCTTCATGCCACGGTCTCCACATTTTAATGTGTTAAAAAACAGAAACATTCAAAAAATGTTTATTTGTAAGGTTCTAATAAATATTTATCTGTATCCTTATGACGTACCTATATCTACAGCGAATATAATCTAAAGTCTTAAAAAAGACTGTGGTTGTTTACAGATCGAATAACTATGTAGAAAACACAAAAATACAAGAAGAAGAATATTGTTAACAGGCACAGGCACAGAAGACAAAAATAAATTTAGATTAAGAACAATAGATATTACCTGATATTAAAATAAGAGCTTCTACGAAAATACTCCCCAGCATCAACGCTTAATCAAATTTAAAACGGTTCATTTACGTTTCAAATAAAAATTGCAAGTTTCTACAAATATTCGTTACGGTCCATATCAGGCAAGAACTACATAATGCAGAATAAACATCTGTGGGAAAAATACTTAGAACGTCAAAACAATAAATGCACTATATTTCTGGTCGTACAATACCTGTAAATATTAACTTCCAGAAATTTAAATAAATAAAATAACGATATAACGATCCACGCGTCCCCCATAGTTTCTGATTATTTTTTAACTACGAGAAATGTCGGGGCTTTAATCTAAGCCGCAGATTGTACCTCCATGCGATTTATATTTATGGATAATTAAAGAGCGCCCATCAGTTTCGAGCATTCGAATCGAAAAAAACTCAAATATTTCGGCAGGTATTTCGGGCAGCGTCGGGGAAAAAATTCGTCGCGAGGAATTTTCGGAAACCTCGTTGCCTGAAACGGGCCCGATAAATCACTCCCTATCGTTCGGGATTAACGCGTTAAACTCTTTTGGCACCTCGTACGCCAATACGAGAGATAAATGATTACGATACACCGACGGTCTGTAATTTTTGGCCTATCCGTACGGGGAGCGAAACTGGAATGCAATAAATAAAGAACGCGATGCGAGAGTAAGATGTTCACTGAAATGTATTAATCTCGGGTACGAAAACGAACGGGTACCACGTAACAATTATACCGTATATCACCGGGCACGATCGACCTGCGTTCCACTTTTAGGCGGGATTCGAACGCAACTTCCTCCTCTTCTTCGGTGTCTCTGGTAGCAGGAGGCGAGTACTTCAACGATCGCGTTTTATCCCTCTGACCTTTATGAACATGTGTTCCAAATACCGTCTTCAAAAAGGTCTATTCAAAATCCAGTGGTTTTGACGACCTTCAACTTTTTTAAATTATTTTTTTATAATGTTTATTTCTATTAACACACAATAACGCGTTTTACCACAAACCGAAACTCAATTTTACGTACTCTTCAGGAGAAGATTAAAACTAAACTTAATAGAACAAATGCTCGCTATATATATATATACACATCGGGAAGTGGGAGAGGGAATTAATTACGCACTGTTCAAGCAACCTCTGTCCTTGTTCAGTGCCTTATCCCCTCTCTTAACAATTTCTAAGCTTTCGTAGGTATCTAATTTTCTACTATTATTTACATGTTTAACTAATTTTAAATTACTTATATCTACCTTATGATTGTTGAACATATGACTACGGCTACACTTGATTTTTCTAATCTACCAAATTTTAAATGAGCTAAGTGTTCCTTAAATCTAACATTAATTGATCTTTTGGTTTGCCTTACATATGACTTGTCACAATCGTTACAACATATTTCATAAATTTCCGACTTTTCAAGGGTATCTAGTTTATCCTTGGGATTACCCAAGAGATTTTTTAATTTTGGTCCGGACTGATCGACACTTCGAAGATCTGCGGCTCTGAAGACTCTACCAAGTCCACTTGTATATTGGGGAGAGAAAGGAATTGAGACTACTTTTAAATTTTCCTCATCAGCTTGAAAAGTCGATAATTTATGAAGTTTGTTTTTAAATCTAAATTTCCTAATTAACTTATCGATAAAACTATCTTCATAGCCACTGATTCCAGCTACCTTTTTTATAAGGCTTTCTTGAGTTTCTTGAGTTTCGGTTTGTGGTAAAACGCGTTATTGTGTGTTAGTACAGTGCCGAAGGTTCCAGTCAAGAGTTTGATTTATTTCTATTGACTTTTAACAAAAGTATCGGATAATGTCAACAAGAAAAAAAAAACATACTGTTTCGAACCTCCTGAGCTACGAGCGTTCGCTGTTGGGGGCCTTTGACAATGGGTATCAAGTAGATGCTATATATACTGACTTCTCCAAGGCCTTCGACAGGGTTGACCATGGCATCCTGGTCGGGAAGCTCTCAGGGAATCTTTGGAGACCTTCTAAATTGGTTTCGCAGTGATATCACTAACAGGAAGCAATCAGTTAAACTTAAAAATTACATTTCGTTAGAGACTGTTGTGACGTCTGGTGTCATATATATGTTATAACATCACCTCTTGACTGTCATCCATTACAAGATGATCTTGATAGGTTTTCTTTGTGGTGCAGACAAAACAATTGTAAGCTTTATAGCAGATCCAAAAATCCAATAATTTTCATCTATCATTTGAACTCCGGATCGCTCGAGAGACAGAACGTAGTTAAAGATCTTATAGTTTGGCTCGATTCGGAGCTCACATTTACATATCACATTGATTTTTATGACTAACAGAGCTATGCGATTGCTTGAGTTTGTTTTTCGGACTTTGAAGGATTTTGAGAACATCTTTACGTATAGGGAGCTATACTGTGCGCTTGTGCGTTCAATTTTAGAGTATGCTAGCTGTGTCTGGCAACCATACTATGCAATTCACAAGGAAAGAATAGAGCGTGTGCAGCGTAAATTCCTTAGAGGGATAGGTTTTAAATTGGGAATTTCATTTGAGGAAATAAACTACGAGGAAATGATGAAGCTTTTGAATCTGACATCTTTGGAGATTAGGCGCATATTTTTTGACATTAATGCAAGAAATAAGGCTCTTTTTAACATTGATTTTCATAGGACCAACTATGGCGTTAACTCGCCTATGAATTGAATTGAATTTTACTTACAAATAACGAGCATATTGATTTATTTTCTGACTCTCTCATTAGTTTTAATTGCAAAGTAAAGAAGACTGGTAGTTTAGCAACTATAAGTGTTGTTTGTAAGGGTTGGTGTTACTATTTTTCTTAGGTATTAATAAATAAAATAAAAATTTTAATTTTAATTCGACCAGATCGATACCGTTGCTCGTTTGGTTTCAGTTACTCGTCTTGGCCGCTGTGTTTCAACAAGTCAAAACGGAAGAACCCTCCAACGTCACGTTGTCGTTTGACGGCGCGAGCAGAATGAAACGAAACACCCCCCGAAGAGGCAGACACGAGCACCACCATCTCGAGGGCCGGTTCGTTTTGCACGGCATGCACCCCCCCTACATGCACGACAGCCCGTTCATGTTCCCGCCCGGCAGGCACCTGTCTCCGCGCGACAATCAAAAACTGCTCCATCACGAGTACCAGCAGTACGAGATGGCGAAGAAGGACCAAGCAGTCGACTGCTGCCCGTCCGTCCTCGAGATGGTGGAGCCGGAGGGCGGCAAGAATGACCAGGACATCTACGTCGAGCTGTACAAGAGCGAGAACTACAGGCAGAGGTCGGTTCGCGGGATTGTCTTTCTGTTTCGACTTTCTTTGACATCTCGCGTGTGCTTTTTCCAGGTTTTACGAGCTGTCTTGCCATAAGGATGTGCTGAACAAACCCTGCCGGTTTATGGAAAAGAAACTCCACGAACATTCGAGGTGCATCCAGATGCACAGCTACACGTACGCGCTGGTGAAAGACACGCCGGATCACAGGAATAAGAACCTGCCCACGTTTCCTGGTCAAGGTGGGTTATTAGAAATCGATTACCTCTGTCGTGCTCTTTGTTGTTTGTTTGCTAAGTTCTACGTTAATTTGGTAGACAAGTATTTCATAAAAATTAAAATGCCGTTGACAACATTGTCACAGTCCTTTTGGTTTTTAAAATACAAGTCATTTTTTAAATTGTTGCATTTTGGAACTTCTTTATTTTCAAACTTTTATAGATTTCATCTTCGTCGAATGCAGTGGCGTCGATAATTTTGGTTACTTATTTACTATTTTTGAGTTATAAATCAAAGATATGTTTCTATATACATGTTTTGGAGATTATAAAATATAAATGTTTTTAAAATTAAAAAAATATATAATAGTATGTACTTTTTCTCTGTAGAATGCAGTAGTGTAGAAATTTTTTGTTATATATCTAGCATTTTTGAGTTTTAAATCAAAGATATGTTTTTGTATAGATATTTTAGAGATTATAAAAGGAAAATGTTTTTCAAAATTCCAAAAATATATGATAGTATGCACTTTTTCTCACACGCCCTTATAGATATTTTTCTCTGTAGAATGCAATGGTGTTTTTATATACATGTTTTAGAGATTATAAAATATATATTTTTTTAATTCTAAAAATATATAATAGTATGCACTTTTTCTCACACATCCTTATAGATTTACTCTCCATCGAATGCAGTGGTGTAGATAATTTTTGTTAATTATTTACTATTTTTGCGTTATAAATGAAAGATATGTTTTTATATACATGTTTTAGAGATTATAAAATATAAATGTTTTTTAAACTTCCAAAAATATATATAATAGTATGCACTTTTTCTCATATGCTCTTAGAGATTTTTTCTCTGTAGAATGCAGTGGTGTAGATAATTTTTTTATATATTTAGCATGTTTGAATTATAAATCAAAGATATGTTTTTCTATATACATTTTAGAAATAATAAAATTTGTCTCTATTTTACTTTGCCAAAAATATATAACAGTATTCACTCGCAAATTAATGACAAAAATGTAATTTTTCCACGTTAGTTTCGTTTTTCACAAGTTTGGTAATTTTTTTAAGCTGTTTACCACAGTTGTTGCATAGTATTCTATTACAATAGTAAAAAGTGATTATAATTAGAATAAGTGCCAGTCTGATAAGGATATTTTTTAATAAAAAAAAGTGATTAAATTTAGGAGTTTACTTTTTACGTATTATTGTGATACAAAAAACAACTTCGTTAGGTTTAATCAGTAGGTTTTTTTGTTTTAACGGAGAAGTTTCAAAAGACAAGGCTGAGTTATCTGCATTTCAGGTAAATATATTTTCATAAAACTAGCTGTACCTCCACAAGTGGAGTTTTTCCTAGCGCATCCTTAAAGCAAGACATGCTCTTCAGCTCGATATCACAACAAATGTGGTGTTCTGTTTCTCAGAAGAAAGTAGGATTATTTTCTGGATAACCTTTGTAACGCATCCCACTCAGTTTCAAGTGATTTTATGCAAAGTGTTCAGTTGGCAAGTCCCGAACATTTCAACGTTAGGACCTCCATAGCACCCTGGAAAATATAGGACTTTTCTGTTAGCAACATACCTTTTTAGCTAGATATTGCACACACTATCAGATAATTCTTTGTATAATATTATTCCGAATAAATCACTTTTTTCACCTTATTTACCTCATTAGTAATTAACTTTATATCTGACTTGGGCGCCATTTTCTGTCTGTCTTCGTGTTGAAGACTAAAAGACACTCACGGGACGCCATTTTGTTGCAGGTGCCGGCAACAACACCTACACGTTGGATTACATAAGCGTGCGGAGCGGGTGCAGCTGCGTGGTGATGCCCAACCAGCCGAAAAAGAAGAGGAACAGGTTGAAACATAAGCGGAAACACGAGACCGCGGCGCATGACGAACGATAAACGCGCGGGTTGGGGTGGGGGTGACGTTAAATTGACACTAGTGCAGTGATCCCCAAACGGTCGAGACGTTATCGAAAAATACCGACAGGGCGCGCGCGGGCGGACATTTTTTTTACGTAAGATAGTTTTTTATTTATTGCCAAAGGATTATTTGTCAGTGGACTATACTCGAGTGGTAGTTTTAAAAGATGCGAGTGCAAGCGGGTGAAAACCGCGTCACAGACGTAAATAGTTGGTAGCTGTTGTCGTCCGATTTTTGAGACATTCCATTTTTTTTTATTAAAAAAAAACTCGGGCGCTCATTTTAATCATCGCGAAAGTATTATTGTTTTTTTTTCTTGTTTCTAGTCGAAACTCTAGCTAGGAATGCAACGCGGCTATTAAGGCACACTTAATCAATTAACTGTGGAGCCGAATTGATACCAAAATAGTGACTTGATTTTCGGAAAATGTAGTTTTCTGAGCAACATCTGCTCTGTATATATACATAAAAAAACATAATGGGAAACAACTTGACAACTGGTATGAAGAGTTTTTTTTACGAACTCCTCTTTTCTCGATAATTTTGGAGTCTGTTCCGAATCTAAGGACCTGAATATACAAAATGAAAATTAATTATGGTTCCTGGCGCTTTAAGTTGATCCATTAAGCGACATCGTAAACAATTTTGCAGTATTAATAAACGAAAATCGATCGATGGTTAGTCAAAAATGGCGACAATTTATATAAATAAATATGTCACTTCGGTCCACTTGAATAAAAAAGCCGCGTATATTAGACTGAGAAAATTTTGTAGGTAGCGGTGTATACTTGCCATATATAGCTTATAAATTTACCCACGTAGTTAGTGATAAATGAATCTCCAGTCAACGGAATCGAAAATACGTTTTAGCCCACTGTTTTCGATTTCGGCGACCTCAACCAGCGGTTACCTTACGCCCTGTATGCGTAAAATACTCGTCGCCACTTGGATGGCGTGAAAAATGTAGATTTTATTGAAATGTTTATCTCAACAGAACCCTACGTTTACTACGTACGTTACGATCGATTCCACCACTTTATGTAAATACTCATTTTGTACTTATGTATTTATTTGTTTTTTTTAAAATGTAAGCCCCTGGGGCGGCACCGTAATTTATTTTTGTAACGCCCTTTTATACATTTCAATAAAACGCCCTCATTTTATACCTCACCGATAATTTGTACATACTTTTTTTACATTTTCGTCCCCCTTTGGTATCATGTGAACGTAATCAATGTGCAGAATATATTTTTAAAAAAAGTTAATAATAAAAATAAAATATTTTATGTAAATATTTACTCGCCTAACGAAATAAACCAATCTACAATCAACTGTATATTTTCTTCGATCTTCCCCGCCAATAACGCAATCTCAAATCTTCAATATGTAAGCCACAGTAACCTATAACTTACTAGCGTCTTCCCGAGAGCACAAATATTCACATTAATTATTTAAAGAAACAATTCAAATGGTTTTTGACATTTAATCAGTGTTCCGTGATGCCGGTAATGGCCCAGCGTCCCTGGGCACTTGCCCAACATTTTTAGAAAGTTATCCGTGCTAATATGTACAAAAGTCAAGCAAAAATATATTATTGACGAAACTCTATCCCGTATTTATTTCCGCTATAAACGATAGCTGGCTAGCCGAAGCAAAACCTCAGTCATGCGGTGTTAAATATCATACGACGTATTTAAATGTTACACGCTTAACCTCACTTAGTGCCGACGTTTGCTTGGCGATATGGCATTTCTCTGATTCGAAGATTTCGAGCTCCTAATCATGGATTTGACTTCAACGCATGCCGTTGTGTTAGACGTCCTCCAAAGGGCGTCCAGTCAAAACCCCGAAATTTTGAAACCGGCCGAAACCAAGCTGAGAGAATGGGAAACTCAGCCGGGGTTTTATAGTATTTTGTGCGTAAGTCCCGGTGTCTTGTTTTGGGACGTATTATTTTGGCACACCGTTTTTTTAGAACGTTATATCGAACCATTCGTTGGATGTGAACGTGAGGTGGATTGCCGTGCTTTATATGAAAAACGGAATTGATAAGTACTGGAGGAAGAACGCTCCCAAGTAAGCTGTTGTTTATTCGATGATGTTCGCATCAAATACGCGTTAATTACCCCCTCGAAATGCCTTCAAGCTTGAAGCACCGCGTCAAAAATGCTTGAAAAATGATAAAATGTCAAATTGTACAATTCCTCTCATTGACTGCTATAATACTGAAATTGCAGTCAGGATTTGGATCCAATTATAGCTTTGCTCAGCATTACTTGTAATATTGCCTCTGCTTTTCATCAGTACTTCTCTTTTAGCAGATAGGACTAAAGTCTTTGATGGCTGGTTTGAGAGTTAGCTACGTAAGGGACAGCAGGCAGTCAAATTGACTGAGTTTGAGGGAGTTACTCTGAGGTCTTATTGGAGAGCGTGAAGAGAGGTGTTCCACAGGGTTCCATCCCACCCCATTCCGTTTTAGCATTTTTAGCATCTTGTCCACCACATAACTAAATGTAACTATCGTGTATATGCAGATGACCTGCAGAAGACTTTTCGGATACCATTAGTTGTATAAATGCAAACTTTCAAAATATATCAGCCTGGACTTTCAAAAATTCTCTTGTAATAAATCCTGCTAAAAAGCAGGCTATTTGTGTAGTTATCAAAATTTTTTAGCATAACATCAGTGAGGTAAAATATCTCAAATCGAATGACACAAAGCGAAATGCCCTGTGTTGAATGTTGGACATTGGGCAAAAAATTGAAAATTATTCTCGTTTGATAAAACTGATAGTGTTGCATTTGGAATTACTTGCTTCACTTCCTTTTAATTTTTGTTTGCTCAATTATTTAAGATGAAGGTGACTTTAAGTTAGCCTATTTTTTGTTTTAGATTTTATTTAATGCATTTTACCTTAATAGATAGAGGGGTAAAGATATGTAAAATTGTATACTACGATAATATCATTGCTTAGCTTAATTAATTATAATCTATTATTAGTAAATAAAGACGTTATGACCAAAAATGAAACAAGATTCAGTAAGAAATCCCAACAGCAGATTTGGAACTTTTAGAATAACACGGGCACTAGTGTACCGTGTATATAATTCTTATTATCTTTGAAATTATAGTAAATAATTGCATTTGTTTTAATATAATCTGGAAAAAACATGATTCAAATCATTCATATTCTATCTACAATTTTCTTAATAACTTTTTCCGGTGTTTTTTTAAATAAATGTACTTCCAACACTTTTATCAGGTCAGGAGCGAATATAAAAATTTTGTAATTTATGAGGAAGTTAATACGAGTTTGTCAATAGTATCACGTTTAGCATTCTGGTTTGTCAGATGACATATGAATAGCTATATGAAAAAAATACATAAAAATCATTCATCAATGTAAAAGGTGCTCAAAATCTTAGGATCAAAAGAACCCAGTAGCACATTAACATATTGATTCCACATTATTATGAAATTATAGTATTTCATGGATATGTTTTGTCCTAACCTATCTCAGTGTTGACTCTTTCTGTTCACATACATATATTTTGGTTTATCTTCATTAATTTTTAAGCTGATGTTTTTCTCTCCAATTGGATGAACGTTTCTTTAATGTTTATTCTGCTATTTCAACCAACTCTCGAAGGCGAGTATCAGATTCAGTACGAATAGCTTGGAATATGGCTCTAAGTTTTTTCATGACTAATGGTGTACTTCAAATAATGATTGTGATTTGCTTAATTTTGGTCTTACTAGGTCCTCCATTGCTCTCCACAGTTTTACTCTTTGCACGCTGCCGTGGGCCAAATTCCCAACATTTTTCCACAATCTGCCTGACAGTGAAGATCTGGTCCACCTTAGGTTGACCATGCCCAAAGCCACATTGGTAATCCCCGACTTAAGGCTTAATTCTTTCCAAGTGACATTTGCTAACACCTTATACGCGGTGTTTGTCTCCTTTCTTGTTTTTAATGAGTGAGCAGTGCCCCCACCTCCAGATGTTAGGCACTCAGTTGGGATATTATCTCCTCCCAGCGCTTTATTATCTTTAATCTCGACCGACTGGGTACATGTAGGGATGCTTCCTTGATTTTCCGTATTATGGAGTTAAGTTCATCAAAATAATATCGCCATGAGATTAATATCTCTCCCACATCAGTTATTAGTTCTTCAGTTTCCCAAGAAATCGTTGGTATCCTCTTCTAACCACAGCTATTCCTGTAAAGAAATTACTGGTACTTGGTACTCTCCATTTTTGCATGTAATATTTTCATGCAATATTTTTATTTTCCCTGCAATAAAGATTATTTTCATTATTAATTTTAGTGGGATAGCGGACGACGAGAAACAAGCGATCCGACAAAATTTACTATCAGATTTCGTAGAACCTATTAACCAAATAGCGGTGCAGAGGGCGGTGTTGATATCGAAAGTCGCTCGACTGGACTGCCCCAAAGACTGGCCCGAACTCTTTCCCACACTGCTACACGCGGTGGAAAGTTCCGACGCTGTCATCCAGCACCGGGCGCTCCTAACCCTGCACCACGTGGTCAAAGCGATCGCCTCAAAACGTCTGGCAGGGGATAGGAAACAATTTCAGGATTTCACTAGTAATATATTCGTCTATATTTTGAACTTGTGGAACAATCTGACTCAGGGATTCATCGAGGGCATCATGCAAGGCGCGAACAGAGACGTGGTGGTGATCAACTTGGAAAAAGCTTTGCTAACGTTGCGGATCCTTAGAAAGTTGGCGGTTTTCGGGTATTACAAACCGCATTTGAGCCAAGACTGTATGAACTTTTTGAAAATGATTTTCGAGAAATGTAAAACCGTTTTGCACTGTCGTAAGTTTTTTTTTTAATTTCGCGGCGAATGGTTTAGCAATGGTAGCGTGGTTTTGCAGGCAAAGAAATTTCGGGGAAGGGCCTCTACCCGGTCGAACTGTGCGAGAAATTCGTAGTTCATCTAACCAAAGTGCTGCTCTCGATGTTAGACACGCATCCCTTCTCTTACGTCAACCTCATACAGCCGACGTTAGAGTTCACGGTGTTTTATCTGTTCACGGACGAGGGAATCACGTTTCTTTTCGAAAGATTCGTGATACAGTGTTTCAATCTGATAAAAAGTATACTGCTGTGTGCCGAATATCGCGCCCCCAAATTCGCTGAAATGTCAAAGTCGCCGGATACGTTGAAAGCTCATTCGATAAAACAGGCCTTTTTTCAACCCCAAACGATCCAAGATATTACCAGGAAATTGATAGGACACTATTTCATATTGACCCAGGACGAGTTGGATATGTGGGATGCAGATCCCGAAGGGTTTTCCATCGACGAGAGCGGAGACAGTTGGAAATACAGTCTTAGGGTAAGATGCGAAACAAATTAGCAGGTTATTTATTTCGGTGGATAATTGATGGTTTTTTCTGGGAAGGTCATTTTCAAGTAACTAAATACTTGTGATTTTGTGGTACATGGTATACGTAGTTGAGTTTAAAATTTAGTGTTACACTTATTCCTACCTTATCAAAAATGGACAGCAAAGCCCTAAACAATCAGATTTACTGGCATGTGATGTCACAATATTGTAACAAGTAAACATAAGCAGGTAAACAATTCGTTAGTTTATAATTACATCAATGCAAATCGAAAAAATGCAGTATCGCATGTATCGCACAAAAACCATTTGCAAACCCAACGATTTTTGGAAAATGGTTTTTTGTGACTTTGTTTTTGGCAAGAGCAAAAACTCAAAAATAAAGAAAAAAATTGAAAACGTTTTTTATGTACTTTGCAAGTGTAAAATGTTGAGGATATTGCGACGAATATTAGAAAAGGTTATTCATAATTATTTACAGGCGTGTGACGTCATAATAAGCAAACAGAATTCTTTACTTTGCGTTTTTCGGATTCGTGTGGATAAATAATAAATAAATAATTTATCGATATATCACTGTGAGGACATTATCAAATTTGATATCTTTTTTTCTGCAACATAATTCACAGGTTTCGTGGATTTCACAGACATTTTTTGTAATTTTAATTAATTGTACGGATTTAGCAAAAAATAGATCACTTAACTAATAAATAAATCCATAAATGTTCAAAACGGACATAAACATTTTATTTTTATAGTTAATTTCAAAATTCTGTGTCTTACTTTTCTCTGTTTCTCTTAACAGTTATTCATTATAGAAAAGTGAAATAGAAAAAAGGCAAGTTTTATGAGTGCATTCTATATGTTTCCGATATATATGACAGGAAAATTATCGCTTTAGGGGTCTCAGCGGGAAAGTCGATCTGATAGAGCAATTATAACTAACATAAATTTGAAAATTTGAGTTATACTCTACCAGAAGTGCGAACTTACTATTTTTCTTTCATTAAATTATTTGTCTTTACATCTATAACTACGTAATTTTCTTTATGGAAAAAGGCATGTTTACAATGAAAGTCGGGCATAATTTTAAATCATTGCGTTGAGTGAATACTCCAAAAAACCCAAATTAAAGAGCCCACCAATAAAGTTCCTCTTATTTAATAGCATTTGTCTAAACTGGTTGTGGTCCCACCAAATGTTACACCTTTTAGCATACAAATAACTTACAAATATTTATTTCATAATTACATTTTGGCATTTCTTAAATACGTTATGGTTTTACTTCTCGATGGCTGTTACCGTTACATCGCGCAATTTTAGTGATCCTTATGACCTCATGACGCTTAAAACCGGTTCTATATTATACATAAAAATGAGCGTTGCTAAAGTTTTTGATATCTTGCTCCTTTTTCTCTGAATAATTTTTGTAGTAACGCACCTGCGACCGTTAACCTTGAAATTATCCTGACAAATGTGAAACGCGATTCTAGCCGAGCATGGACAACGTGTTCATGACGATAGTGCACGAATACAAAGAGGTCGCGACCCCGGTCATAGTGGACCTCATCGCGGAAACGAACGTCATCGTCTCGCCCGACGACCTGCCTCAGATCCTGCGTAAAGACGCCATCTACAACGCGGCAGGTCTGTGCGCGTGTGACTTATACGACGAGGTCGACTTCGACGGCTGGTTCCAAAATACCCTCGTGCAGGAGTTGAAAATCAAACACAACAACTACAGGATAATCAGACGCCGCGTCATATCCCTGATCGGTAACTGGACGGTTATCAAAATGTCGACCGAACTAAGGCCCATCCTCTACGAGTGCGCCATAGACCTTTTGAAGCCCGACGAGGACATGGCGGTGAGACTGACGGCCGCCGCGACGCTCAGACACGCGATAGACGACTTCGAATTCAGCTGTGATCAGTTTAAGGACTATATGTTCTCCAGCTTCACGTCGCTGTTCAATTTGCTGAAAGAGGCGTCCGAATGCGAGACAAAAATGCAGACTTTGAACGTGATGACGCTGCTGCTCGAGCGGATGGGCAACAGCGTGCTGCCTCATTCGGAAGCGCTCATTCAGTATTTGCCTCATTTGTGGCAGGAATCGGAAGAGCACAACATGCTAAGGTGCGCGATCGTCGCGACCCTCGTGCAACTGGTCAAGGCGATGGGAGGGGTCCCGCAGGAACTGGCCCCGTTTCTGTTGCCCATCATCAGGCTGGGCACCGACACGAACCAGGGCGCGATAGTGTACCTGCTAGAGGACTCGCTGGATCTGTGGCTCGCCGTTTTGGAGTATTCGCCGTCGATGACGAACGATTTTATGCAATTGTTCAACAATATGCCGACCCTTTTAGGTGCGTACGAAACCGGTGAAAAACGAACCAAAACTAACACTAACGTGGCACCGCAGCTCAATAAAATGTTCCGGGAAAGACACATATCGATTTAGAAAATGTATATATTGAGGAGCAAATAATCCAAAAATTGGTGCACTAGATTTCACACAGCCATATGATTTCAAACATTTCATGCAATATTCAACGGATTTCACAAAGATTTCACTGGTTTCAGATTTCACGCATTCAACAAAGATTACATAGATTTCTAAATGATTGTCCAGTTTTCGAAAAATAATTTTTAGGTTATGTGGAAAATTTAATAAAATTTCAAAACGGGGCATAAAAGTAATATTTTCAAATTGTTTTTTAATTATTTTTCTTTTTGTTTAACTCAAATTCAATAAGTTTTTTTATAGAGAAGGGCATGTTTTACACATTTAGTTTGAAATTTCGATAATTCTTACTTTTCTCTGTACAAAAAAATTTCAATTAAACCCAAATAGAAAAAAAAGCAGAGAAAATATTTCTATGCCCTTAATCTTATACCTTTCGTCTTATTGCCTCAATAATGCCAAGTGAATCTGTTGAATTTTTGAACAAACGAACGGATAATGATGTTTCAGAATAATTTTCCATATATGTATAATATGATGTATTACCAGTAAAGTACGTTTAATGTTATAATATGCTTAGGTAAACATATTTTTCTACTCCCGTCTGTAAAATATCTAATTACACACCGATCTAGCGTGCGGGAAACGTCACTTTACCACGTCAGTTTCGTTTCCCACGAATCCGATTTTACCGCACGGGTTTGCGAACAATCGGATGTTTTCCGAGATATTTTCCACGCCTTGAATTTTGACGTTTGTCAATTCTGACCGTCATGTCAGTGAATGTAGTCGTGTTGTTTTGCGAAAATATATCCAAAAACTAATGGTTGTAGAAAAAGGGTAGTATGCAATACGTTCGGTAAATTTTCAAGTCACTCGTTTATTAAACACTCGCTGCGCTGCGCTCCGCTCGTGTCAAATAAACTCGTCAAATGCCGTTTACCGCACTTGTTGCATAATATACTATTGTAGTTACCATCCGTTATTTTTTAAAACTGATTAACGTTAATGGTATATTATACAACAAGTGCGGTAAACGTCATTTGGCTCACGAGTTTCTTTGACACGAGGGGAGCGCAGCGGAGCGAGTTTTTAATAAACTAGTAAGTAAAAAAGTTTACCGAACGTGTTGCATACTATAATTTTTCTACGACCGTTAGTTTTTGGGTACATTTTCGCAAAACAGCACGAATACATTCACTGACATGACCTGACTAAAGTGACGCTTCCCGCACGCTAGATCGGTGGGTAATTAGGTATTTTACAGACGGGAGGAGAAAAAATGATTTTATTAATGTATAATGCTCAAAACTCTAGCAAAATTTTAAAAATATATTATGATTTCACAAAGATTTCAAAGATCTCATAGATAACAAAGATTTCACAGATTTCAAAGAGCTGGCACACCAGATTTCACGCGTTATTTGCCCCTTGGCAAATATAAATTAAAACTAAAACAAATGGCAATTTTTTTATATCAAGTAATTGCTATTTAATGTTTGAGTAACATTCATTAGCGAAGGCATTCATGTTGTCGTCTTGAATAATACCAAAACTATTATTTAAAGCCTAACATAAATTTTACTTTGTGTAAATCAATAAGCTTCCTCACCATCTTATTAGACGAGTTACCAAGTTGCGCATAATGAAGGTAATGTTATGTTCCAACTGTATCCAATGCATATTGACCAAGTTTTAGAGGAACATTCCTTATTTCTATTTACGCCATCTAGCGGCTATAGTGCGAACATGGTCACAATATGTTGTCCAACTTTAGACTACTCGACGGAGAACCTTCGTGCCTGCCTGTACATATGCCTGGTCCACCTGCTGCTCGCGCCCGAACTAGTGATGAGGAGTCAGGGTACCCAAATCATCACCGTGTGCGACAGCCTGATGAGCGACTTGAAAAACGAAGGGGTCATGATGATTATGCGACTGATCGACACTTTTATCAGGGCGATACCGGTGTTAGGCGCGGAAACTGTTCTGCCCATTTTGCCTCGAATACTAAAGTAAGACGATCTCAAGCGGGGAACCTCCATTAAATATAGCGCCATTTTGCAGGAGAGTGTATGCCGCCAACGAATACCCTTTGGTTATGTCGACGTTCCTAAGTATCCTATCAAGGGTGTTGCTGTCTTCCCACGAGGTGTTTAGCCGGGCGCTTTCCAAGCTGGCGGAATTGCAAAACGAAAGTGACCAAGTGACCTTGTCGAAAGTTTTAGACTCTTGGCTCGAAAAAATGCCCAACGTGGCGCAACCCGATCAAAGGAAACTTTTAGCCCTGGCCTTGACGAACCTGTTGACCACACGAAGCAACACGGTCTTGGAAAGGTTCAATCTCGTTATGGTCAATATTACGGAAGCGTTGAACGATATCACCAAGACGGAGGACAACGGAACGACGGTCGATTCCCTCGTTCTGGTCGAGGGGCAGAGCCCGAGCCATTTCGAGGACGAGCTCACGTACTACGACACCGACCACAACCAGAGAAAGAAACAGTTGATTTTGTCGGATCCCGTGCACACTATCGTCTTGAAGGATTATTTGCAGTCGCAGGTGGGTGACGCCATAGAAATGGAAAGAAAAACCTAAGGTTTGCTGGTGTGCTTTTAGATATTCGAATTGAAGAGCCAAATGGGACCCCATTACGAGCAATTGATGAATACGCTGGACGGCGACGTCATATTGCAGCTAAAAGATTACATAACGTTTTAGAAGATTTTAGAGAAGAGACCTTTTCTTTTTTTTAATTTGTTATATTTTTGTATTATGTATTATGTTGATTACGATGTGATGTTTTAAATGAATAATTATGAATGCGTTTTAAATTATTTAATTTAGGAGCTATACCTACGGATAAATACGAAAAATACGTTAAAGTTGCAGAGTTGTTTTATTCGCTGCATTAAGAGGATTACAAACCCTCTACTAGTGTCCTAACCTCATATTATGCACCAAGTGGCGACCAGAGAGGTACACTCGTCCCTATCTCAAAAAGCAATTGCCTGAGAAAATGTTTTTTAAGAAATATCTTTTATCTCTTAGAGTGTTCCACCATTTTCGGAAATAAATGTCAATAACATAAAAATAACTGAACGCATTTTGTTAAACTTGGGGTTGTCGAATAGATCTCCTTTTAGGCTATCAAGGCCGCCCTGAATACATTGATATAAATTGTGTTTATGCGTATATAAGAGAAATAAAAGCAAAAGAACCTTGAAAGTATGCCCATGTCCTCTTTGCTAAATATCTGTGAAAGTTTGACAGCACAAATTACTTTTCTCTCCCAACTTTGTATATCGGCAATGGTGGTTTTCAGTTTAATCTAATTTGCTTTCAACTGACAAACCGTTAGGTCCGCAGCAGTGGTAACTTCAAATTTCATTGAATCATTTTGAATTTCTCTGTTGCACTCCTATTGAAAATTGTTTAATTTCAAAACATGTCTCGATTAAAAACGATTTCGTAATACATCCTTTTGTAAGTTGCAGTCTTTTCTTTTCGCTTATTAGATTATTTCTTAAAAAATGGGATTTGAATCTCAAGAATGCGAGTGCGCCCCCTGGCGACCATTCCAAAAATTTAAAAATAATTTCAAGGTGCCTGAGAATCAAATGCCATTTTTCCTTAAAAAAAAAAAGTCTCAATCTATCTAATCTATCTTATAACTTCTTTCCTTTTAAAATAACGGAAACCATGTAGAAAATCGAATGGAGCGTAACATTTTAAAACCAGACAGCAAGCAAGGGCATAATGTACGTACGGGCCGTAAGAGGGCGGTGTGATGAGAAATAAAACTTTTAAAAATATAATTTCATTGGCTTTCTGTATCGATACCATCAGAATTCATGTGCGCTTCGCACCAGAAATAAACCCCCATTAATCGCATCACAAAATTAGGGCAGTAATAACGTTTTTTTTTTCACCCGCTCTAATTCTAATTTTGCATGCAAAGCGTGGCGCAAAGGAAAATATACTTTTCACCCGTGCCGATGGTTCAAATTAATATGTACTTACCGTTTTCAACAGGTTTCGTGCACTTTCACAATAAAATCACACCACCACGCCATTCGCGAATACTCTTTCAACTAGCGTCATTTTTAACTAAAATCAAGGGAGGCGCGATTTTAGAGCAAAATAAAAATTTAAGTTGGCACCAAATCTCGAGGCGTTGCCATTGGACGAAAATTACACGTCATCGGTCGTTAGGGAACCGCGGAAACTTCAGTTTTGGAAATTCGAATGCACAATTTCGATTTTAGCAAGACTTTGGCCGATATTGACAAATTTTAACACGCTCGAACGGGAACGAATGTGTTGGAGAAGTTCCCTGGTTATCAACCGATGCGAATACACTAACCGACAGTAGATGGCGCCGAAAGCGGCGGCGTAAGAATCAGCACAAACAATAGATAGCGCTATACCGACGGAGTTTTAAAACCGAAATAAAACTACTATAATTTTAAATTCAAACGGTTTATTTCAAAGCAGATTCTTGCTTTGGCTCAGCGTTGATGTCGCGGTTTTGGTCGTCCGTTTCTACGAAAACCTGAAAACGTCAAAACGCTCGTTACGCGGCATAATGGCGGCAGCGTTTTATTGCAGAAGTACCTCGTTTCTGTAGAAGTGTCCCAAGAGGTTGACCGATTTTTTATCCTCGTCGGCTGCTTTTTTGTTGTGGCGAAACTTCCTCACGCACAGGAAACACATTCCCATGGCCGCGGGCATGGCTGAAAAATGGAAAATTACGCGCACCAAATTTAAGTTGGCCCTACGAACGCTACGAAGTCGACCAGGAATTGTCCGCGCAAAGATTCCCGAGGCGCGAGTTTAAAATTGAAGTCATTAACGCGCGTGTAACACGAATCAATTAAGTTTAACGTAAAATGACCGGGTGAGAATTTGCATTAGTAGCGGCGCAGTTTAAAAGTCCGCCGTCGACGGGGATCTAAGATTGTCACTCGGTATCTGTCGTATGGTAACCGATATCGTTAAAATTATCGCGATGTTTCAACCAGGAACACGAAAACCCGCGTCATGATTTTAATTGTTATTGTCAGAACGGTTCGAAAAAGTTGGATCGTTCTGTGAGTAATTACGACGTACGGACAGATAAGATTCCGTATCAAGTGGTCGAAATAAACTGGGAACCCAAGTTGCAGAGTTTTATTATTTTAGTAATTTATTGTGACAAAGAAAATTACTTGGATCTGCAAACGTCAGTTGTGACAGAAAATAATTAATGTCTCAAATACCCGCGAAAGAATGGAAAATGGTGGTGGCGATGATTCACATGGACTTCGTGGATTATTTTGTATAGGATTTATTTCCTATTATTCCTTTCTCTTAGCGGTTTCTGTTTTATCTTTTGTTTTCTTTATATTTCTGAAATAAAACAAAACAAATAATTTGACACGACAAAATCGTGTAAACTTAAATTAAATTAAATTAAACGGTCTCTGGATCTTCCAGATGTCTGCGTTCTTTAAGTCCTATTGTATATAAATACAGAATTTTTTAATATAATGTTATATTATTGGATGATACTCATTGCTCTGTATCTGCATCCTTTCCTAGCTCCTTTCATCAGCTGTAGCATTGTCGCCATTTGCATATCTGCCACTAATCTTTCAGAAGAAGCCAGTTTTGTTAAGCTTTTTTTGCAAACAGGGGTGTCCCACTCTAGTAACCGACATCACCATACCCCTTGCTGTCGCAATTGCTGTTTTAATATCAAAGTCCAGGTCATCATACTTGGACAGTTTTTTTTGTTTTGTTTGCTGAATATTATTGGTATTGGCAATGCCAAGTACCTTATGGTTGTCATTTGTTAGTCCTGTTCAAGTTTAGTTTAAAGCTGTCCTATTTTAGAGTCATGTGGGGTGACAGATTTTTTCACCGAGTCTGATTGAGACGTAGGATCTTTTTTAGGTTGACGATATGATCCAAATTCAAATTCAAAATTCAAATTCAATTTAAAGATATCACAGTCTATGCATCACATATTATAATACTAATGAATAAGCAAACACAACTAATCAAAAGTATAAAACACAAAAATGTACAAAACAAATTAATAAAAACGAAGTTTACAAGATTTAAATAACACGATGCCAATCCCAACCACAAACACTACCTTTTCTACCCAAAATTCATATTTCCAAAATCAAACTCGAGATATTCTTGTATATTGTAGAAGTCCCTTTCAAGTAGATTTTTTTCAAATTCGCTATAAACGCATTCAAACTTAAACCCCTTAATTTGCTGGGTAATTTATTATATAAGACAGGACCGTAATAGTTATGAAAGTACCTGCTATGAGTCAATCTTGCAAAAGGCAATCTTATATCAGTTGTACCACGGGTGTTATGTTCGTGGATTTTAGTATTTGTCGTATAGAGATTAGCATTCTTCTTCACGTAAATAAGACACGATAAAATATAATGACTTGGCCACGTCAGAATACGGAGGCCAATAAAATATGTTCTTACGTCATCGACATATCCTATTTGCTGTATTTTTTGCTGGTAAAAAAAGTGAGTAAACAAACTTATTATTTAAAGATGGAAAATTGCAGTCGTTATATATTGCAACCGTATCGTCAGCGAATAGTGAGATAATCCCTTGATCAATATCAATATCAATGTCATTTATGTATATTAAGAATAGCACTGGGCCTAGCGTGGAACCTGATGGAACACCAGTGGGGTTGATTTTTACCTAAGACTTCGTTCCGTCATACAGTACGTATTGCTTACGATTGTTTAGAAATGATGCAATTAATTTGATGCTTGTATCAGTAAAATTATAATATTTTAACTTGCGTAGTAATACAGTTGGACTTACGCAATCAAAAGCTTTTTGTAAACCAAACAAGAGGGAACCAACACAATCTCTCAACATCTTCGATCCGTCAAAGATAAAATTCCATTTGAGATTCCAGGAGTTTACAGCATTCCATGCATGTGCGGCAAATAAGCCAACAGGATGATTGAAAATAGTTGAAAAAAAAAAGAAAAAAGAAAATAAAATTAGTTTATTCGATAATCAATAATAGCTAAAAATAATCTTCGTCCGCCATCGCTTCGCCCGAAGAGTCGTCGTAATTGTCGAGGGCGCTCTCGTATTTCGAAAAGTCTATGTCTAGGAATTCTTCTATGTCCGAGTCACGCGACATCTTGGTCACTTTCGGTGTGACGTCGGCCTGAGCTTCGGTTCGGTGTTCGACACGGAGTTCGCCGAACTCCTGCGCCTGTTTGTGTCGCTGCAGGAATCGCGTCTTGTGCCGCATCTTCTTTTTCTGGAGCACGTTCGATAGGTCGAACTTGGGCGGCCTGCAAGACGAAGGGAAATTAGTGAAGGTCAACACAGCAATAAATTGTCTGAACACGCTTTTAACTACCTGGTTAAGCAGAATGACGAATTCTCAAAAATTGTTAGTATTGTTTTTAAGTCGATTAGCCACAAATCGACTTTTTTATTCCCGGCTCGAATTATAAGAATCAGTTTCTATTATAAGAGATTATTATCCAACTGCTACTGTGATGGCCCATAAGGAACATTCAAATACTGAATATCGAGAGATGCATGGCCTTATATCGAGGCTTATCCCAATAGAAACCTTCCATCTGCTAAGACATTCATCAACATACACAGAAGACTTGGTATAAGGGAGACGAAGGTATAAAAGAACGGCTGCAAAAGAAGAAAGAATACTTCAAAATGTGGAGGTTGACCCGTCAACGAGTACCAGAAAACAGGCTGCTCAGGAAAGAATTGGTTGGTCTACAGTTTGGGAAGATTTGCGTGAAAATGATATTAGGCACTCGCATGTTCATAGGGTTCAAGCACTGTATGAGGGTGATGCGCAATTGAGAGTAATTTTATGCAATCAAATTTTATGAAAAATTCAAATTCCATTGCATATATCTTTTACTACTTTTAAAACTAGAATTAAAAAAAAAATAAAATATTTAAAAGTTAAAAGGAATTCCACAAAGAAAAAACAACATCCTATATATCCGTTACAAATTTGTTTCTGGGATAGACGTACCCCCCTAAACACAAATGTGAACTACTGAGAAGATCCTTCTCCTATTAAATTACAAAAACGGTTAATAAGCTTCTTGCTGAAATAAAAAAACTTGGTTGACCTATACAAAGCAATTATTTAATTTTCTAATATAAGAGCAGTAGTATATTTCAAATTAAAGTTTAGCAAAAATTAAGAACATCAATACAAATGTTATCATTTCCTTTTATTATTTATTTTTTGAGGGTTGAAGCTAAAGTAGGTGAGCATCTCCTTTTTTTACTTATTTGTATAAATAAATTCGTTACGAACAAGTACTTGGCTTAGGCGGAAGAACAGAAATCCGTCATTGAAGTTTCCTTATATATATATATATATATATATATATATATATATATATATATATATATATATATATATATATATATATTTCTTTATTTCCTACAATAAATGTCTTTTTATTATTATTACTATTGGAACAAACTTTCGAAATACCCCCTATAATGTTAATTCGTTTGAATGTTAAATGGCTTGAGGTGGTCTGCTAATGACGTTTCAGTCAACCGCCACTATCGAATTCCGTCAATATCATGTACCCTAGCGTCGGTTCATTTGCGTGATTGTTGATATATTACGCCGGGGGTTGCGATTGTTTTATTTCCGGCCATGACACCCCAACGCGGCTTCGTAAATAATTACCTGTTAGTTGATTGAACCGATCAAAATACTACTACCATAATTTCCACCCCCCATTTGCGACCATCTCTTCCATTCCATTCATTTTTGCCAAAAATTTAATAAAATAGTACAGGGTTATTTATTATGTTTTGACATTCACCTATATGGTTACTTTTGAAAGATAGAAAAAGAAGTAAATACAAAAGTCTGAAGATTTTTGCTCTATTATCTTACGCAAATGTCGGAAAAAACAAACGACGATCGCAAGCTGTCAAAATGACAGAAACATCATTTTTTTAATGGAATGCCCTATACATTATTGTTTATTGTTTAAAAATGGTCAAGTCGCCCTTGATAGTAACCATATTATCTATGTTTGCAATTGTTTTAATAATGTTCTACGTTTGCTAAACAACTAATCAAAACCAAAGATATGCAGCGTAAGTAGTAACTTAATGTATTTTAAATGAGTCACACTGAGGAAGAAAAACGGACATAATGTTGCAAGGGTTAAAAGAGAATATCGACTAATATATTCGGGTAGAAGTTCCTTTAATAAATACAATTAAAGACGTAATTAAACAATTTGAGGACCGAAATAGTTTTGGTTAGTTTTACAAGATTTAAACAAAGAAACCCTTGATTTTATCACATCATGTATTAATAGGACATTGAGAGGAAATATTGTCCGATATATAGAAAATAATGGAGGTTATGTGAAGAATGTTTAGGATGAATTAATAATATTTTATTACTTGAATAATATAATTTTATGATTTGGCGTTTTTCTAGAACTGTCTTCCACCGACTTCCATACACGCTCTAGCACGGTCTATAAGTGATTGGGCATTATTCACTACTAACACTTTGAAAGGCTTCTCGTCTCCTCTATTTCATGTCTTCTTCTGTTGGGGGGACAGGTTTATACACCTGGTCTTTAGATATTCCCACAGAAAATAGTTAATCTTTGTTAGAATAGGATATCTAGTTGGCCATCTAATCGGACCACCCCGTATATTTCTAAGTAATTTTAAATTGTTTCTTGTCGTCTCATTTATAACTTTCCTATATCTCTACAAAAAATAATTTACGATACAATCTGTATTGGGTGTTTACCTTAAACGAACGGTGCATTGGATTGTTTTGTAAATTTGGTTAATTCCATAAGCGACGATGCTCTATCGACGTTGCCGATTCTTCGAAAAAGTAGCATCAACATTGAACTTTTAAATGGGACACCATGTATATTATTGCATTTTCCGATCCGCCAGTACTTCATGGTTGTTTTAAAATATTACGCTGCAATATCTGTTTTTAGTGGTTTTCGAGAAATTAATTATTTTCTTTATTTTTCGACCAAAATATACTAAAAAAATTTTTAGTACTACGACACTGGAGCCAACGGGAAGATAAAATTTTGGACGTAGCTTAGGGACGTGCTGTACCTTATTTCTTAATATCGAAAGTAATTCTATATTATACAGGGTTCGCACAATTAATGATTTGGTTACGAAGTTTTGTTCATTATTGATTGCGGCGCAAATTTTATAGATAAAATCCATTCAAAATGGAAGAAAACCTGTATTCTAATTCTATTTTAATGAATGTGTAGAAAATTTAATGAAACAATTACAAAATATGAACAAGATACAATTTTCCAGATTTAAGAAAAGCTTTACGAATATTTTAAAAATTATTTACACTAAGAAAACTTTACGTACTTAAAATAAAAATTGCACACAGAAAAATGGAACTATTTGCATTCTAAATACTTTTAAATCTATTGAAGTGGACTGATGGAAGTAGCTATCTTTATCTCCGATTTATCTATTTGTTCAAAGCATCGTAAAATTTGATGATGTAACTCTGCTCTGCACTGGCGTCACATGGAAGCATGACTTTAACGCATCTCATAAGTAAAAATCTAAAGACGTGAGATCGGGCGATCTTGCTGGCCAGTGGTCATTAAATAATTCGTATAATTCCTGTGATACCTCTTCAGTGCAGGGCCGATGCTGCATTTAGTTGGTACCAAGAGGTCCGAAGTTCCTGAGGGCTAAGATTCTTGAGAAAGTCATTTAATGGTTCATTGTAAATTAAAAAACGTACTTAATTATCTTTTAACAAGGAAAATACACTTAATATTAAATTCAAAGATAAAAAGTGTCTATTGAAAATAGCCTGAAACTATTGCTTCGTCGGCCACCTAATGAATTGTGGCAAAGTAATTCAGTTTCCATATTAACTTGGACTTGGACTCCAGACACCATTATACATCGTTTGTCAAATCATTGGCTTTGACCGACCCTGTATAATATGGAACTAGTTTCGATATAAGAAATTCTGTTCTATACTTTCCTAAGCTATGCCCAAAATGTTAACCTTCTACTGGGCTCCAATGTCGTAGAAATAAAACTTTTATTGACGCTATCTTTTGGTTGGAAAAATGAAGAAAATAACTATTTTCTCGAAAAGTATGATAGGAAAGGTATTATTCAAAAACAATCTTAAATTATTAGCGGAACGGAAAATGCAATAATATACGTTAGTGTCCCATTCAAATATCAAAGTAGATGCTCCTTTTTCGTAGAAGCGGCAACGTCGTAGCATTTATTTATTTTTGTGGCAGCCCATTTCTCGTTAATTTAACCGCACAAAATCAAAAATATCGACAATTCTCCGCTCATATTTCGGCAATTAAAAAAAATCCACATGCGAAATATTAATTTCCTATTTGTTTTGTTTTAATTATTCAAAACGAAACGAAATTACGTTGCCGCGTCTATAAATTGACATGCCGACTGGCGGAGATGAAAAAGTGCACCAAATGGCGGGACGCAACGTCAGCTTACTTCTCGCCGTCAGCGTACACCTTTTTCTGCAGGTGTACGATATCGTGTCTCACGTCGGCTAGCAGTAGTAGCAGGAAGTCAAGAGAACCCCTTTCGCCCTTAGGGCCACGAGGCCCCCGCTCACCTTGCTCCCCTTTAGGTCCCTGGGGCCCCCTCGCGCCCGTCTCGCCCTGCGAAACGATAACGTTTTGACAGATCAATTCGATACGGATTGCCAAATTCAATTTTTTGATATTTCAAGCGGTCGACGAGTATGCCATGTTCTGGAATGGCGTAATATCCGGTTCACTGGAGCAGCAGCGGTTTTTTTTTTTAATTATTGAACTGGCTTTTACTTGATGAAAATCCATTTAACAAAATAAATAGGAACTAAAAGTTCAGATTTTCACGAAATTATATATATTCACATGACAATTGTTTCGAGAACACCGTGTCTTTATCAAATGTAATATTTACAAACTACCTGCTGCTATATATAGCGAAAAATGACAATAAAATCTTAATTATTGTTGTTGTGAGAATTTAAGTTTAATAATGGAGAGGTATTTAAATCTAATTGATCGTTCAGCAATACATTTGAACGTCTCATTTTGTTAATCTCCATAGCTTCCAATTTTGTGGCTGTATGTAAAATATCAAAACTGTCGTCAAAAATGTGTTTTTCCGTGTTTAAATGGCTAGCATAATTAGAATCTAGACTATTGTTTTTAAACGCTCTTTTATGTTCGTTAATGCGTTTCTTGAAGGATCTACCTGTTTGTCCAATATAAATTTTAGGACAAGATCCACGACAATAGTGTTGCATTGGAAGAGATTTTGATATCTTTAATTTTGTTGATTAATTCAAAAGAATTTTTTATTGCAAATTTTGCTTTAAAATCTGTGTGGAGCTGTATAATATTTACTTATTTAATTAACCCATTGATGAAACAAGATTTATTAGATTGCTTAATAGTATCTTTGGACCAAAATTATTTTGAATTTAATGGACAGATTTACATCTCTAAGGAAGGTTTGATTATGGGAAAACTACTTAGTCCCTTGTTAGCAGAGATTTTTATGGATAATTTCTATGGTGGTATAGATACGTGGATGAAGTTTTTGCTCGCTTTGTTGGAACGGACAGACAATTGAATTCTTTTTTAAATTACATTAACTCGTTACATAATCGTATAAAATTCACAATCGAGATTGAACACGATAACTTTTTTAGATTTACTATTACGAAAACGCAAACAACTTAGATTTTTCCATTTACCATAAATCTTCACACACGGACACAATCATACATAAAAGCCCAAATCACCCTTATATACACACAAAATGGCTGCATTTCACTCTTTTATACACAGACTTCTTAATACGAAGGAAAACCCAGTGAAAAAATGTGGTTTAAAAATAACTTTCGGAACTAATAACACAATAGGAAAATTTTTAAAAAACAAAAAAACACAATTTCAAAAGTCAGGTGTTTACAGGTTGAAAAAAATAAAAGAGCGTTTAAAAACAGTAGTCTAGATTCTAATTATGCTACACACTTAAACACAGAAAAACACATTTTTGTCGATAATTTTGATATTTCACATACAGCCACAATGGAGATTAACAAAATGAGACATTCAAATGCTTAACGATCAATTAGATTTAAATACCTCGCCATTATTAAACTTAAATTCTCACAACATTTTATATATAATTTCGTGAAAATCTGAACTTCTATTTCTTATTTATTTTGTAAGGGTTTACGGTAATTTTCCGTAGAAATTTTGAAAAAAAAAACAAAGGAAATAGACCTCGAGAAATTTTCATATTGCAAGCCAAACGTTAGTTTGCAATTTTTACATTGTGATAAAGAGACGTAGTGAACAAATTAAAAAGTGGAGCAAGTTATTCTACCACATAATGTAAAACAAAATTCTCTTACGGTAACTTATATATTCATTGATTTATCTATTTACAAACACACAGGCAGAATCAAAATATAGAATTACTTTCAAATAGACAAACGAAAAAACAATAATAATCCAGGTGGACAATTCATGAGAAATAAAAGAATTCAGCAACATTACACAAACTGATTTAGTTTGATTTTGAAATTCTTAAGGGTCTGTTGGTTCTTTATTTCCGTAGGCAGTCGATTAAAACCTTTTATTCTCATTGAATCAGCAGACTTCTGTTTTTAAGCCCCCGAAATTTAACGGTATTCCAGGAAATATCACTCTCATTATATCCCCGGAGAGTCACTACATTTAATACAATTAATAATTTTTGATAAAACATATCTTTTTTTTAAAGGAAATTCTGAGCAATTATGAATGGGGCTTTTAAAATTTGCTTGTCTTTTTAAAGGAGGGGCATGAACGATGTCTTGGAGGATTGATTCTCATATCGGTGAAAGGTCCGGTGTGGCGGTTAAGATCGTGTGGTTTCAGATTTAAAAAAATATCTTGTTTTGCTTACTTTGCTCTCTTCATTTACTTTTTTTTTATTAAGGTCACCTTAGTTATAAAAAAACGTAACATTCGAAACATCAATTAATCAATCTCTTGATGGAACTTTTGTGAAAATGCATTGTGATTGACTCTTACTTTTAATAGATGTTAATAAATTTTCGATAAATTTACGGTTGTGGTTCTTACTGTTGCACAAAAACATTCAGGCAATAACATTTTTTCTTGAGCAGATACCCTCTTTTAGGTTTTTGGGTCAACAAAACAAAAATATCCATCAGCACGATTGACGCACTGTGGGCCCCATGCATAAACTAGGTTGCAATAAATCATTATTAAAAATGCAAAATTTGTCAATGTTTTCAAATTAAGAACATACTGAAACATATAAAAACAGTATTGCTTTCTAAAAATACTTTACCAAGAATTTTTTATGAAGGCACAATATCAGATGTTTAAAAGAAAGTTTATTTTTATTGCAATCTCTTCAATAAAATAACGAAGTTTTCGTACATTTTAAATGGCTTAGTAGGCCTTGAAAACAAATGCCGCTTTAAGTATTTGACAACTGATGTCAGTCCTGTTAATTAGTTTAGATCCGTACATGCAATGTAGAATGTTTGTGTTTTTTCTGCGATTTGTGACGGGATAAGTGCCATTAATATTTAATTTTTCAAATTCTATAGAGTAAAAAAATATGAAGGCCAACGAGTGCCAAGCAAAAATATACATTTTTCATTAGGCAAGGGTGTAAACTACTAAAAACTGTTAGCCAAAAATGTCGCAAATAGTCGCAAAGCTTATGCCAGTTAAAAATGTCAACCTCTGAGTGATAAAAATATTAACAATTAATGTGCTCTTAAAGTTATTTATCGCATGTATTGCTTGCGCAATGAGCCAATTATAATGCATTATTTTTATACATATTGTTTTCATTTTATACACACGTTTAACTTACTTTTGCTTTTTCGTTTTTTGAAATGTAGGAAATATCGAAAACAACGTTGTTTCAATTCTGGAGGGTCTCTAGTAAGAAAAACCTTGTAGAAGAAATATTTAAAATATTTAAGTCTTTACTCGTGGTATTATATGCCCATAACCATCCACAAACTGCTGTACCATTCCACAGACATTATTAAACATTGTGTTGTGCCTATTGGGCAGCTCTCTGAGGAGGCCCAGAGGCACGTCACAAAGATTGTCGGCGATATCGCGAGCATCACACCCAAAAAAAATCGCGCATTGCCACGAATAAAGACTTGATGCGAATGTTATTAGTGTCCTCTGACCCCGTTATAGCCAGTTACCAACAAAAAACTGTAAGACCAAAAAACCACTATCACCTGATATATTGGCTCTACTTAAAAGTCCAGAGCTTCCATACCTTACAAAAAATGACTATTTTGACTGTGAGTCTGACATGTCATGACAGCGAGAATGACTAAAATTATAATTTACCTAGTGGGTTTCAGGGTTAAAAAAAGTATGTTAAGTAGAAAACATCTCTGCCAAAAGGTTATTTATAAGCCAATTCTAAGGCTTTTTCTTATCCTTTCAGTTTTTTGTGTATTGTATGATCCTTTGCTCACTGTGTTGTTTTAATAAAATAGTTATATTTTCAATAAGTTAATTTAATTTAGGTAAATAGTTCATATATTTGGAATTTGTTAACCAGTGTGTTTTCTGTTTCCTTAAATACAGTTAAATTATCTCACGTGACTACAGAAGCTTTTTGAATAAAACTGTGCAGTAACTGCAAAATGTTTCCAATTTTTTTTTATTTTAGTTTTGGTATATCTTTAAAATATACTCCGAAAAATACTAATATGGCAACGCTGGAAAATTGAAAAATAAAAGTATTATTGTTTACCGGCAATGTATAATAGTAACTTAATTTAATTAAGTAACTAGAAAATAATCGAATTAATGCAACCTAGTTTGGGCAATGGGCCAACAGTGTGACGATTGGGAATATCAAAGCAGGGTTAAATTTGACAGTTTTGAACAAACGAATTCAAGTCATGGACCACTACGTTTGCAATTGCAAAACCCAGCTGCCGGTTGGCGCTGAACAGTTCTTTGCTGTCTTACGCCATCACCTGCCATTTTCTTCCGCAACACGAACCCATCAATTAGACTTTGGCAGCTCCCGGATAGAGTTTCGACGCAGTTAAAGTACCGTTAAATTTCCAGTGACAACAATACGGCTCGTATATACAAATACTTATGGTTACCTGAGCTCCTCGTTTGCATCGGCATTGTGTTTGATCGTCCGCGGCAAGTGGCACGTACGCGTCCAACATGGAGTAAGTGTAATCGTGATTTGTGTGAGAGGCGAGGACTGCCGGAGATGATCCCTCTCCTGAAACGTCAGACAATAAACCCCACCGCAAATGTACAGGGAACAAATTTTACGTTTACTCTTCTCGGTCGGCCGGTTAAGAGGATTGTTTGCGATTCGACACCGAAGAGGGATGGGGGGATGCTCGGGGGTTCGATATGAAAACTGCCATTGTGGACAATTTTTTTTAGCAAAATTAGAAGATTGTAAAATCTAATTAATTCGCGTGCATAGAAATCGACCCAACTTTTGACTTCAGTTTCTTTTTTTTTAACTACTGATCGGATAAAAATAAAGACAATTTAATATGTTCTAATACGAGTTTAAATTGATTATAATTAATATCTGCTTTTTAGGTTTAGCATAGTAAAATAACTGCACGGATCAAATTCACTTGATTCATTACTTAAAACAAATAGGGTTATTTATTAACGAGGTTCTGTCCGAACCAATAAATGTAGGGCGAGGTAAAGTCTGTTCGTAGATATAAGAAAATAAATAACGATTGTTCTGCTTTTTCTATATTTTTAACAGAATTTGCCCAACTTTGTGGAAGGATGTTAAAAACTTCGGTTTCTATAACTTTGAGGACATTGGAGTTAACACGGGGAATACAATTATTACGACGAATGGCTGATTTTAGTTGGTTCCAAACATGTTCAATGGGATTAAATATACAGTGGTGAGATGGAAGCCTCAAAACTGTATGCCCTAAATTTTTTGCATAATTATCACAGACGTATTCCTTTTGTAGGTTCAAGCTTCGTAGAACCTCAATTAATTGCTTTTTGGTATAATCTTCGTGAAAATAAATGTCGTTAATAATACATGTAGTTTTGGATTGTTGCTTTTGTGTCACATGAGGAAGGGGTTTTAGTCAACTGTCTACTGTGAAAACTTGCATTGTCCATTACAATTACGCTATTAAGAGAAATCTTTGGAACTAGATTGTTTTTAAACCGACTTTCAAATAAATCAGCGGTGGTGTCTTCATGGTAATCCAGAGAAGAATCTTTAATATTTTTCGCAGACAGAGAAAATCCATTTGGAATCCAACCATCTTTAGAGTCAGCACGCAAAATAGTTATTCTTTAACCTCTTTTTGATGGCGCGTTTGTTTTACACTTATCAGTTGAGTCAACAAAACCCTTTTCATAAGTGTCGAACCAGGTTTCATCCAAGTAAATAATTGGCCTCTGTTGATTTCTGTAAATCCTAATTTTTTCTAGATATTCCAGTCGCCATTTCCGAGTTCTAAAAGATTCCATTAAAACTTGCCTTTTGTCATTTTTTTTTTATCTAAAACCTTTCATCTACAATCGAGAAAATGTATCTTTTTTCCTCGCTGAAATGGAATTATTCACAATTTCCCATACAGTTGATGTTGAAATTTTCGTCAATGTGACCGTTTCTTCTAAAGATGCTTGCTTGCTGGCACCACGTTCAATGAGAGTCAAATAAACATTGTTTATAACTTCCTTAGTCTCAATAGATTCAACACACGCTGTATTACACACGAAATAAGAATAATTACTAATAAACCAAACCAAAGAATATTAAACGCAGGTAGGTATAAAATTATTTTCTATTACGGACCACAATTTTACCTGAATTTAAATTCCGAAACTATAGGTTATTACCAAGATTATTATCTTGTTGCATTGTATGTTAATGACCACCCATTCAAAAGCAATTGGTCACTTTCTTATATCTATGAACAGACCATACTTGACGAGGTGACACCCTGATTCGCCTTCTTTTCGACATCATCATGGATGAAATAATAAGAAATGTACGCTTACTAAAGGGATGCAGAATGGGTGATCAGGAAATTATATTAGTATACAGCGTATATTACGTCTGCGCTGCCAAATCACTTAATATGATAATATCAACCCAGAAAACTAAGTGCTTGACGACATCAAAAGTACCATTGAGATGCAAACTGGAAGTTGAAGGAAATGTTATGCAGCAGGAAATGAAATTTAAGTATTTAGGCATATTGAGGCATTTTTGGTCATTTAACTTGTATTTCGAAATTAAAATTGCCCGTCGTATGTGTGAATCGTTTTGATTGGTTGAACGGTTTGGAAAAGATCGGAAGGTTGCGACAAGATGGTGAAACAAAAATGTTGTATTTGATTTCACGCTCGCTTTCCATTCACGCTTTCGAGACAAAATTATTTAAAAATTTTTTAAATAAAAGTTATGTTTTTTTTTGTCCAGTTAGAACAAATGTCACATCTTGTTTGAGAGTTTAATATATTTTTGTCTATATAGATTGATAGTTTAAGTAAATCAATAGCTGTTAGGCTTAAAATTTTCATAGTTCCAAAAACATCTCTGTGTGACTGTAGCGTTGTAAGTTGTGTATTAATCGATTAGTTCTATGGATTTTGGCCATATATGTTATCTGTCATAAAACCACATATCTTATATATCTTATAATTTGAAAAATCTTAGAATTTAATAAAAATATCTTTCTTTTTAAAACATAAAATAATATAACGGCGTAAAATTGGGAAGTTCTTGTGAACAATATTTAAGAACCCCTATTCTGAATAAAATACATTTTCCGGCGTGTATCTTCTTATTCTCTGGCCTGAGCTAAAATGTATTCAATTCAAACAATTTGAGATTATTTTAAAATATACAGGATGAAAAAAAAGGTGTACACTTTCTTAACTAGGACACCCTATCCTAATTGAATCCCTTTTAAAAATTTTCAGCGTTTTTATTAATAATAATATATAACTGAACCTAATGGTTTTTCCAATATTTTAATGTTTCTAAAAAAATACTCGTTTTCACACTTGCAAAAAGATTACGTTATCGCCATTTTTTTGAAAGACAACTCTTGTTTGTTATTAACGTTATTCTATAGTTGGCCATGACAAAGTGACATTGTCAAATTTTTACTTGACAAGTGAGTAAATAAATTCTACAATTTGTTGTGGTGTCAGTAAATAAATAAAAATGTATGGATTTTCCTAAAACTGCACTAATTATATTTATTTATTTTATTTATTTATATACTAGGTGAGGCGGAAAAAAATGCTTTGTTGGCAGTAAGACTTTACAAGGCTATTTTAATAGACGTATACCAACTACAAAATATCTTCAGTTTGCTTTAAGTGATAGTATTGAATACTAAAACGAAAAATGGTAAACCGGACTACTATCTATAAGGAAAAAAAATGAAATTTTAAATTTTAAGAAATAAACTAAACTCGAATCGAACTAACGTATAACACATAAAATTTGTTTTTAAAACTTTCCAAATTCAAACCCAACAACATTCGAATCGCAAAAAATCCGACTGGTCCAGTATCAAATTTCGGAACTTTTGACGAAACCCAAGGGCACCAAAAGAAACGGGAAAAAAAGGGATAAAACAATTCCCTCGCCCCATCCGAAGAGGGAATCTGAGCATTTAATTTGAGTAAACTCGGAGAAACAAACAAAACATTCATAATATTCGCCGTTTGGAGGCAGGAAATGCGAGAGATAAGCTACGGCTTACGGCTTACCTGGAAATCCTCGGGGTCCCGTGGGACCCGGGGGCCCTGCCGGGCCCGGCGGACCCGGCGGTCCGGACGCAAAGCTCGACAGCCTGATTGCGGTACTTAGAGCCGTCACCTGTTAACAAAATTTTGCCCTATTTTTAAATCTTATCACCGGGGTCGATAGCAGAGAGATGTCTAGCGTTCTATGCCTTTTTTTCCGTAAAATTTCTCCTGCTAACCTTTTTCCTGCTATTTGTTAGAGCTTTAATTTTTTCGGTTGTTTGAAGTTTAAATCGTTACCGGCTATAGAACCTAAATGTTTTTAATGCTGCGACGTTGAAAAAGTACCATCAACATCGAAATTTTAAAAGGGACATCATGTATATTATCGCATTATACCTTCCGCTCCTACATATTCAGCGGGTTTCGAGAAAACATATGTTTTTTATTTTTACAAAAATATTCTTCTAGCATATGAACGGAAATGAAAAATTAAATTGAGCTTTTAAAAGTAACTCGAAAAAGCAATTAAAATTTAACTGTAACGAATATACCACGACATGGCGAAACTAGGCATTGTATTAATCTTCAGATTCAGTGGGATCCTGAAAAGAAAGCCCGACCCTTAACATTAAATTAATGGCAATGACAAAAACGTTTTTCTTTACCAACTAACATTTTTCGCAGTCCAAGGTTTTATAATAACGAATATTTAAAACGGGTTTATAAAAGCAAGCTTAGCTTTTATAACAATTTTAGAATACCGAATTCAAAACGTTTCAGTTACTTTATTTGTGAAACCTTTGGTGTTGAGAGTTAAGACTTTTTAAACAGATTTTATGGCATTCTTAAGGACCTAATTAAAAAACTTTTACCTTTGGGGTTTTATAACTTACTCCATAAAGCATTTATAAATCTTAAAGTATCTAATAAATATTATGGAAACACTATGAAACCTAAGGAATGGTATAAAACGTATAGCCCAGTAACGAACATTTTCATCTTGAAGAAGGGTGCAGCTAAGAAAAATTGGTTAAAAAATACTATGCAAGTGAAAATTAGGCTATGATTGCGTGGCTGACATTGGAAATTTTAGCACTAATAGTTTTGACTAGTGTTCTGCTGACTGTTAGTTTTATGGATGTTCAATATGAATTGAAGCTATACCTAAAGATGGCGCCTTTTAATATATGTCTAATTGTTATACATAAAATAGCATAACATATGCAACATATCAAAAAATAATCTGAATTTTGATTGCATAATTAAAGCACATAATTTTAATCTTCGATCACACGGGCAGGAAAATATAAAATGATATAGAAAAGTTTAATGGAAAAGGGGGGGGGTTCTGTTTGCTGTTTATTAGGTCCCTGTAGGTGTCGATAGCTTTTATAATTCATTGAAATTTTTTTTATAATAGCTTTTATAATACATTTATAGCTTTTACTTTAGGTAGTTTTTATAATGGCAACGAAAATGTATTCCTCGCCGTTATTAAATTTACAACCTCTTAGATATAAATAAATGAGAGTAACAATTTTCTGTTACCTATATTTTCTTTCCTTTCCTTCCTCTTGTAAATAAGTTGATTGTTCAAAGGTTCTTGATTGAATTTTTAAATAAACGAATCAATTTTCCTCGTCTCTCGCCTCGGCTTTATAAAATGGAATCGTCGACTCCATTAAAAGGAGAAAACGAAGGCGCCGGAAACTTTCGCGTTTCGATAATCGAAGAGAAAAGCGTCTCAAAAAATCGTGAACAATTAACCGAAATTAATTTTTCTTCGGGCCGTCGATTTTCTTCCTACCGTTCTTTTGTCACGGCGACATTTTATTTCGACATCGGCATTGAGAAAAACGAATTCGCGATAAGCAAACACCGCCACCTAAGCGACCGCGACTCACTTTCTCCTGCAGCTTCCTGAGTTTGTCGTGCAGTCGGACCATGCTCTCGCAATTCGCGAAGCATCGACCGGAATGGGCTTCCATTGCGTGCGAACGGCCGGTATTCTGTTCGTCCGCGGGACTGGAAACGCCGTTTTCCTGCTGCGAGGGTTCGCAGGTCCTGTTGTCGGGACGCAAAACGTATCCCGCTCGGCAGGAACAGCGGTGACTGCCGACCTCGTTAATGCAGCCGTGCTCGCAGTCTCCGTTTCGGTCGAGACACTCGTCGACGTCTACGAATTACTAGGTGTTAGGTTGGGGTAAACCGCCGAGCTAAGAGCGCACATTGTAATTTCTTTTATTCTTAAAATATTTGGCAATTCCATTGGAAAATCTTGGAATTCTATTAAATTCCACAAGTACTATGTGGAATTCTACGAAATTTTATGGATTTCCACTGAAATTTCCACAGAATTCTATGAAATTCCACTTCAATTCCTTATAATTCCTTTGAAAGTGAAGCGTAGCATCGTTCTGTATCTTCCTCATAAATTGTTTAACATTGAATTATGTGTAACTTACGACAAGCCAGAAGAAATTTACTAAAATATTCGATTTATTATTAATTAGGAGATTCTACTGCACAGAAAGATATATATAGAAAGATTTACCAGTCCGGCCTCTTGGAAACTTCATTCATTTAATTAATTTTCTTTAACAACACTCTAAATAATTGGCTTTTGGTGTTTCCTAAAAAACATACTTTTTAATTTCTTTAATTTAATTATTAATTATTATTATTATTATTATTAATTATACAATTTTTAATAATTTTAATAATTAATTATTATAATTATTAATTATTATTATTAATTATTATAATTAATTAATTAATTTTTATTTTCCATTTCCGTAGTCAACAGACTTTTGGTAATTTTTTACACTTTTACAGGCACCTAAATAAATTGAACCTCAACGACCTTTGCGTGTATCATTAAAAGTGATGGGACCTGTTTACGCAAATTGGAAAAGTCGAATACGCCGTTAGCCCGTCAAGAAAGTTTGTTGGAATTCCGACGAATTTTAGCAAATTACAGGAGATGTTCCCATAATAAAAAATATCTAGACGTATTGATTAAGCGTTCCATAACGAACCACATAATAACAAAGGAAGAAACAATCAAAACCGTGGTTGACGGCTGAGGCTTTTACGATTCTTTAGATAACTGCTGCACTAAATCGGCTTCAGCTATTGTCAAGAATATGTAGCAGGAAACGCTCGATTGGCTCGCGATAGTGTTTAATGAAGCTTTAAAGTGACAACTGGGGCACGCACTGGAATTCTTCGGAATTTCTTCGAATTCCACTGGAATTCCTTCATGCTGTAAGCTATAATTCGCGTACGGTTTACCCCTCTATCCGATATAACCAGATCTCATTTGGATCTGCTCATCGTACGCGTTACGACTTTTCCCTGTTCCTGATGGATTATCTCCGACTAATATCGCGAAAACAAACTTTCAAACAGGTGCCGCAACTGCCACGCCCGCCCCGGGAAGCCATCAAAAACTTTGCAGAGTAACTCCGCAACAATAAACCGCGCAATTTATCTCTTCTAGACGTGGATGAATGCTCGCGGCAGCGTAGAGAGTCTGCGGCCCGCTTAAAAAGTAACACGCGGGTGACGCAAGGAGAGCTTTTTGGAAAGAGGTGTCGCTTAGATGACGCCTTCTTTAACGGGAGTTAATTTAATTTTGCTGTCAAATAAAAGGGATTTTTATTCTGCAATCGTTTTGGTGACAGCAGCTGACTGAATAACATAAATGATTCAAAAACCCCATATTAAGTATACAAACATAAACTTCCCACACAATGCAGTAAAATATGTTTCAAGTCACGATAAGCGAGGTGGCAAAATATAAAAAATCACAATGCAGTAAAAACTTTTTACATCAAAAACAATATTATTTTTGTAATCTGTGCGCGATGCGACAGCTGGGGCGTTGTTTTATCTTGCTTCTACGGACCACTACGTCACGTCACGTCATCTTACTTCAATCTCATTCAGGATATAGAAAATAAAAAAGCACTCGAAATAGCGAATTCCCATTACAATATTTTGCGTATCCTGTAAGACAAAAATCGTAATTAAAAATCTATTTCTCACGGTTTGTCAGTTAATAACACAGGTCTATTTGGTGATTTTGATGTTTGAAAGCTGTTTGCTTATTTGCATATTTTGAGCTATATTTTTTATATTTTGAACTATAACGGCGTTTTTTTTATAGCCCTCTATATCTTATATATGAAATTATGAAATTAAATGCGATTTGGCAACACTGGATACCATTAGATTTATCTGCAATACAACGTTGTAAACTGCTTATGTGCAGTTTGTCGTGCTACTGTATTCGCGGCTGTTGTCTTCGTTTTTGTGTATTTCTAGTATCCTATAACGTAGAAATATGGAAATAAGAAATTGTGTGATCAATCCAAATAACTTTTGTTATATCTGTGGTAGTTATGTAGTAGTAAAGAAAAGGCAAACTGTAACTTCTTTGCTGAAAAATATATACCACGCTTATTTTAGTGTAACGAAGACAAGTCCTGGGCTCCTCATACCGTTTGTTCCATTTGCGTTGAAGCCTTAAGAAACTAGCAAAAAAGTAGGAAGAAATGTTTAAGCTTTGGTGTTCTTGGGGTATGGCGAGAGGAATCACAGCGATGATTGTTATTTTTGTTGGTATATTGATCAAGGATTCAAAAGAAAAAATAAGAAACGAATTGTGTATCTCAATCTTGAACCTGCCATTCCACGAGTTCCTCAATGGTCAGATGTACCGATATCTACCGCCCCAAAAGAACTAGAAAACGTCATATCGTCAGAATTAAAGGATGCATCCGAATTGTTAGCGCCCAGATTTCATGACTAGCATTTACTGGCGCCTGCGCCACATCAAGCTTTGCAACAATATTCCTGACTTAGTTTCAAATTTAGGAAATGTGTCGTATATAAAAGAAGTGTTTTGTTACAACAGAGGGGTTATACAAAATTTCCATGCTTTATTTATGAATGGAATAGTTGCAAGAGATAGACATTGGACTTAAATAGAATGGCTTTCTAGAACAAGCCTTACATCTGGTAGTAAAAATTTAATAAGATATAGCTCAGTTAACCTTAGTTTTACTGCCTCCTCTTCACATCAAACTTGGCTTCATGAAGCATTTGGTTTAAGCCGTAGACAAAAATAGACAGTGTTTCAAATATTTCTGCGAGAAATTTCCAACCGTATCTAATAAGGTAAAAGAAGGTATTTTTTTTGTTGGGGCGCAGATGAAAACATTATGCAAACACAAGGATTTTCAAAACACAATAACCAATGTCGAGAAAAACGCCTGGGTTTCATTTAAAGAAGTATTCGATCAGTTCGTTGAGAACTCTAAGGACGAGAACTACGAAAGTATTGTTCTTGTTTTCGCGGCGGGAATTTTGAGGCCCGTATTTGCCACAGTTCGAAAGTTATCCGGCTTCAAATACCGACGATTGTCCGTTTCGGAGAACAGAAAACAGATTTTTTTTCTACGTTGATCTAGATAACCAAGGTCAGTAGCGTCTTCATTGCCCTACCAAGGATATTAAAGGCCCTAGACAAGCACCAATCTAGTTCAAACCGACTCATCTTATTTTACGACCCTCGTAACCGGCTTCAATGACGTCCGCTACATAATTTCGTATGCGTTCCATTTGACTTTAAAATCGACCCCGCAAATCCAAATGGCTGCATTCCAACGGACGCGACGACGTGCATCGAAAAGTAGGCAAACAATACTCACATCCCACTGCATTGTCCCCCCTGCCCTCCGGCTTTTAATCTTTGCTCGTTCTCCGCTACGCGCAGAACATTAAATCGACCCTCCGTGGGAACGCTTTAAATCGCAGACCCGCGACGGCTTTTGTTTTCGGGGATATTGACTGATGAAATTAGGGTTAATAGGTCTCGGATTCCGGGTCGATTCCAGATGTTTAAATCAACGTTTAATGGGGGGTGTTTTAAAGGGTCGTTAAGGACTGAACGCTGCCACTATTGTCCGAAGATAATACCGTCCTTTAGTAATGCGATCGGTCTTTGGCCCTCCATTCCATTGAGCATTCCCACGTTCAGGTTGGAATGTTGTGCCGTTCGCTTTCACCAAAAATAATTTTATTTGATGGGAACAAAACTTTCTTTATTTTGTATGCCCTTCGTGATTCCTTTTCTTTCTCCTCTTCTTCATTTCAATATAAAAACCTCACAAGTAACTTTATTTCATCGATGCATTCTCTCCTAAAGTATCAAAGAGATAAAAATCATTCATTTTAAAAAATGATATTTTGTTGGTTTTACAAGTTCATTGACGACGACCTTCACGTTGATGTAGGTCACTCGGCAGCGTCTCTTCGATCTTTTTTTCGTTTACACGGGGATTTTTATTAAGGGGAGCAAAGTCAACAAACTCGGAGGGTCGTTAGTCGGAATCGGGGTCCCGAACATTTTTGCTTTGTCGGATTCGGGCGGAAAACAATTGGGGATCAAAGGAGATCCTTAATGAAACGGTTAGCTACAAACTTACCGACGCAGACCGGCTTAATCCCGTTGCGTTGGTTTCCGGGACTGAATTTGTAGCCGTCGTAACACGTACAGATGATTCGCTGAAGGTAAACGGTGCACAGTTGCTCGCAGACACCCATTGAGCATGGATCTTGGTCTTTGGGGATGCACCTTAAAGAAAACATCATTAGCAGTTGCCTGCCTTGATGAGGCCAAAACACTAACACCACGAAAATCATTTAAAAATGTCCCAATATATATTACAATGACTTCCTCTCCAAATTTTAAATATTTACTGGAGGGTCGAAAACAGAAAAGAAAAAACTATTTATCTAATAATATATAATAATAACATGTTATTTCATAATCTATGAAACTAGTTATCCTTTCTATGTAGCATTTGGCAAATTTTCTGTTATGAGATATGCACTTAAATTCTTTATTCATAAAAAGTTAGATCTAAGCTATTGGTCCAAGTGGTTCCAAACAAGATGCCTCGATTTTCCACATAGATGTTACTACCGAAGTGTGTCGATCTATTCTGTATCTCAAACTCCAGGAATTCCTAAATTGCCCATCATTATCTGTTAGGCCACCACTGAAAGGTGTGACCATGCTCATTGTTTGCGCGATCTCCTCGTTCACGTCCATTGCTACAGCTTCAACTTTCTTTTCATATGGTTTACTAACCGTCTAGGATTACGAAAAATATGTGGTATTGAATTTAACGATAGCTCTATATAGTTTTATTGTCACATTTATTGTAGATGACTATAAAAAATAGTTTAGTTTTTGATTGGCTGCTTTTCTGAAGATGTATGAAACGTCGTCTGTATCATATGCAATAATCATCTGATCATCAGCAAAACGTATGTGAAAGAGATAATCGTTATCTATCTATCTATTCTACACTATCTTCGTAGCGTTACTTTAGCTTATAATTAAAAAAGTGTAGATGAGAAGGAGCATCCTTCTTTTAAGCTTTCTATTATTTTAATCTGTTCTCACACTTGTTTCCAGTATTTCGAAAATTTTCGAGACTGTCATAGAGCTTTTCCGACTCTGCGAACACTGAATGGGTACCTACATTTCTAGCTGTTTTCACCTGTCTTAACCCGAATATATTTTTTTACAAATTCCCAACTGAACTTGTGACACTAATATCTCTATGGTTAGTGCACCCTTTTGAAGCTTTTTTTTTCAAATTGAAACCAGTTCGGAGTGTTCCATTTTTTCTATCGGTCCTGTAGATTAGCCATTTTTCATCTCGCAGTAATTGAAGGTACATTCACTTCCCCATTGTTATCTGTCGCTTCCTTAAAATTTCTTTTAAACTCCTGTTGGTCTTCATTAAAAAGAGTTTGGTGTTTGCCAATAAGTTGTAATTTGTTTCCCGACTTTCCTAATATTCTTAGATGCTATTTGCAGCTGAATTCCTTCCATAAATCGATCATTTCTCCACGTTTTTCTTCCTACACTTTGGATTTTAGTATTGTCACTTCCCTGTTCATCCTGGTGTAGAGTTTTCTGCCTTCTTCATCTTAGTAACCAGCCATTTTTGGTATAGCAATTTCATAAACTTTTATCGAGTCTAGGTTTTTTTTTCTCGCAAACCTTTATCTCTTTACAAGTTACAACCTCTTCAATATGCTTTTCATCATTATATTACTGTTGCTTTGTGCAAATATAAAAAGAAATATTTAGATTCAGGTTTTTCCGAAAAAAGTGTCTCGGAACCGGTCCAGCTATACTACTGACATATCCGCTTCGTTTTTTATGCGCAATCAATTAAGGCGAAGAGGAAAGGGGAGCGCGTCAGAATCGACTTTATATGGTTCGCATATCGATATATACAGGTCGAATACCAAGCAGTCCGGATGGATAAACTTTTCTCATAAATCGGGTTGAGGAAAGTTTTGGTTTAATTTTATTTCGGAAACGAGATCAAGGTGGGACGAGCCGAAATGTCTGTTTCCAGGGAGTTATTCTTTACGTACGGGGGTCGAATACGAATTAGGCGCGGCTGCTGTCCTGTCGAGAAGAGTTTTGCCCCACGCACCCCTCAGGAAATTGCTCCCACCGTATAAGAATTTCAATATTCCAGCTCGCATTTTCGCAATATATTTCAGGCTGAGGAAATTATTGCAGAAAATCGTTTTAGTTTTAGTTCTCATGTTTCATGACCAAAATTCGTTGCTGATATCGTGGCTTTGGCTTAATATAGACCAAAAGTGCCATTTTTCGATACTATGAAGTCAATGCCACTTCCGGTTTTAAAGGACACTACTGTAACTTAAGAATTCTATGTGGAACACCCTGTATTTTTTATATTTTTGTTTTCTAAGAAATTTTAATTAATATTGAAGATTGAATCTATGGCCACAATAAATACAATCTGTCAGACCGAATGATGATTGGACAAAATTCTAAAACTAACCAAAACTAATAATTTTTTAGGATAAACCAGTGAGAACAAAGATTGCAAATTCTGTCAGTTTGTACCTGATTAGTGATATTTGCAATTTATAAATTGAGAAAAAGTTGATACGATTCCGGTATTCCGGTATATAGATTATATATATATATATATATATATATATATATATATATATATATATATATATATATATATATATATATATATATATATATATATATATATATATATATGATGACACTATATTCCGGGATATCATCCGTTCGCTCGTTGAACTCCGACTGGAATCCTGCATCCGACTGGAATCCTGCAAATCCTGCATCCGACTGGAATCCTGCAGACGTTTCGCCAAAATCTCACACTCTGGAGTGTTCGAAGTGTTTTCGGAGCGCGAGCATTGAAGATGCCAAGTGAGATTTTGGCGAAACGTCTGCAGGATTCCAGTCGGATGCAGGATTTGCAGGATTCCAGTCGGATGCAGGATTCCAGTCGGAGTTCAACGAGCGAACGGATGATATCCCGGAATATAGTGTCATCATATTTTTCCATCCGTGAATCAATACGTGAGAATATATATATATATATATATATATATATATATATATATATATATATATATATATATATATATATATATATATATATATATAACATTCAACTGGAACCAAGTTTAACGATCTTATTATTATTATGAAATTTGTTTGAACCCATCAAATAAATAATGTATTCGTATTTCATTGACAAGGCAGTTTTATGCTTACGATATACTTTGAAACAAACTATACCCCTGTAGGTTTGCCTTCAGCCTTGACCCGCCGACCGAAAAGCAATAATTTCCAATTTCTGGTGGCTGGTTAGGGTCCCGTATAACGCGATATTGTGAGTTTCACCTTCCCATTGAAAGTTCCCGCCAAGTTTCCTCGGGAAACGTTATATATTTGCGGGAGCGTCTAATGAGTTTAGTAACGAGCGTTGACGCGAGAGTTTCTTTTCACGCCACCAACACCAGAAGAGTCTTCACCTCGGGCAAGGAAGAAAAGCGTCTTTTCAAATTTCGTATTCCTGATTTCCTAAGAATCACCCTTAAATTCATATGATTGCCGTTCATTAAGTTTTCTAATCCAAAAAATGTTATGGTATAACGTGTTAGGGTTAGGTAACAAAAATTTTTGTATAAATTTGCAAATGCAAAACCTCTTTCTTGCCTCTCAGGATGTTTACGCGGTTCGCGGGGTGATGGGAGAGTTCCATATGAAAAATATTGTGCATTGACTAACCAATAACTTAACGAGAAATGGTTTAATAAACAGTTTCTCTAGCACTTTAATTTCCAGAATATGTAATTTTATAAAGATTTTCAAAATATGGTAAATTAAAAAACGGAAATAAAAGGATTGGAGGGCAAGGAATAAAATACTATTAGTTTTTTTTTCAAGCATTAAAATATAACTAAGTTCCTTCCGAAAGCAATTCTTAAATTAAATACCACTAATGAAAAAACGATCACGAAATTGCTGTGCACTAAGAAAAAGGTACTAACGAAGTTAAACCCAACAGAAAAACAAAATATCTAAATAGATAAAAAAACCGCTCCGGAAAGTAAATATTCAAGTTTTTTGAGTATGCATGTATACATTTGGCAACGTTATTTTTGATTCCAGATATTTATTTTCAAAATGGGTGCAGAATTTCCAAAGAAATCCTGTTTGAAAAAGATATTTTCGAGTTACGCAAAAACTCCACTGGTCTTGCGAAAGTCTTAGCAGTCTTTTTGTAAAAGAAACTAACCAACCATCTTTCAAGCCAGCATGCAAAATAGTTATTCATTTACCTCTTTTTGATTACGCGTTTGTTTTACAATTATCAGTTGAGTCAACCCAACTCTTTTCCGGGGTATCATACGTGTCGAACCATGTTTCATCCAAGTAAATAATTGGCCTTTGTTGTTCTCTGTAAATCCTAATTTTTTATAACTGGTAAGTCTTACGCCGTATTATATCTTGATCACTTCCATCTACACTCGAGAAAATCTCAGCATCGCTTCTTTTTTTCTTCGCTGAAATGGGATTATTCACAATTTTCCATGCAGTTGATGTTGGAATTTTCGCCAATGTGGCCGTTTCTTCTAAAGATGCTTGCTTGCTGGCACCACGTTCAATGAGAGTCAAATAAACATTGTTTATAACTTCCTTAGTCTCAATAGAATAGTGTTTTCTACATTTGTTCGGGAACATCTCCTGAGATACACTAGATGCGCAAGTATTTTGCATAATTCGCACATGATTCAACACACGCTGTATTACACACGAAATAAGAATGATTACTAATAAACTTAAACTAAGTAGTATACCAAACCAAAGAATATTAAGCACAGGTAGGTATAAAATTATTTTCTATTATGGACCATAATTCTACCTGAATTTAAATTCCAAAGCTTTAGGTAATAATCTTGTTGCATTGTATGTTAATGACCACCCTTGGATACTCCCATTCAAAAGCAATTGGTCACTTTCTTATATCTATGAACAGACCATATCACTTTTTCCTTCACTTATATCATATTTGTCAGTGGTAACATCTAGTAATCTGGTAAATCTTTTGTATTTAATTCTACTTTGCTTCGTATGAATATTTAAATAATCTCTTCACAGTGAATATAAACTGTCAGAAATACACAAAATCAGAAGCGTACGCACTCTATTTTATCGTGAAGCAGTAAACGATGAAACGATAAGAATATATTGCCTTTGTTTTAAACAAGAAATCACTGCCTTAAATTTTGCGCATTTCTTTTGAACCACCCTGTGTATGTAAATGGTGTGGTGAACAATTCGTTTTCCAAAAACCATTGTGATTATTCTTTCCCTATAAAAAAAAATTAGATCAACATTAATACTCACTTGCCAGCCATAAAAACATAATCCTTGCAGCAGTGGCTTCTGGTGCAGTCGATCCATTTCCCGTTGGAGTTGCATTTGTATCTGGTCGTTATGACGTTGCTGGAGGGGCACTCCAGGGTTTCCGGTCTGGAATAAACAACGCAGCTGAAGGGCCGGCCTGGGAATGCGATTCGGGGTGCTCAGGACGATGGTTATTGCCCTTTCGGTTATGATTCGGGTTTAGATTTTCGATGGCCGTTGACCATCGTTGCGGGAAATAAAATTTCCCAGGTCGATGTCGACTATGTCGGGGTTTCGAATGGATATTAGCGAAATTAATGGAAAATATTTAAATTTAGACGCCAACTGAACTCATTACTTAACGGATGCTTTTGGTTTTTTAAGTTTAATCGAAAAAAAAGATTTACAAATCTTTTAAAAGTATATGTATTTGTTACAATTTTTCTATTTTCATGTTATTCAAACTTTTATGCAAGTTGTCATTTACTGGGTAATAGAAGAATTAATATCTTAATTATTGGCCCATATCAAAAACTGTAATCATACTTTTTACAAAACTTTTGGATTCCTCCCGGGTCCGTTTTTGCAGAGTCGAACTTGCTGATGTTTCACCAATCATCGTGTTGGTTTCTTCAGAGCTTGACTGAAACTGGCTCGCATTTTATTCTGTACACATATTGTTTGAGTGGGGAGGAGCTAAATGAGGGGCATAAACACCATCTCGGATGACTGATTCCCAAATTGGTGACAGGCAAAGACCTGAGTCGCGATTAAGATTGTTAGGTTGCTTATAGATTTCTATAAACTCTCGGAGACCAAGACAAATAAACTCGTCAGCTGTTGCCGAACACAATCGCGCTATTTTGTCAGAAGGGCGGTCTGAAAACCAAAAACAAATTTATGTAAATGGTATAACAATAAATTACATCCGCTTTACGTTTTTGTAATTTTTTATATTAATATTAAAAAAAAAGTTGATTTTAAAGTTTTCTGATGTACACAACGTTGCCAATAAAATGTCTCCCAAAACACCGCAAATCTTAAAAAACTAAGTATTTTCCTTCTCAGTTGTTCAAAATTTAACTTTTTAAGTTTCATTTTGTTTTGCGGGTTTTTCACTTTTTTCCCTTATTTCTATTCTGATGTTCCCAGTATGGCGCAAGGGGATATCCTCAGGCCATCTATTTAAAGGACATCTGTGGTATATCGTGTACAGTAAATCAGCAATCAGCAGCATCCCTGAGATGTACTTTACAGTATATTCTTAATATATATGCTAACCCTAAGAATGTCCCGGGACATACGACTTAAATGGGACATTGACCGGATATACTGGGGATATTGTCTACCATCTGGGGTGTTCGTAGTTTTAAGGCTCTTTAATGGTGAGAGATTTTTGGACAAGTGGTAAATCTCGATTTGATGTTTTCGTACAGAATATCAATAGAAAATCAGAGTTATCATTGGGTTATTTTGTTTATAGAGAACCTACTCACGCACACCGGTATTCTAATGCATTGTCACATCACCATCCGGTCCATAAATCATTTGTTATCAATTCTCTTCAGAATTAAAACGCCTTACATTTGTTCTCCTCTCTAATAATTTCCACATTAGAGATATTAAGCGTTCCGTCACAAAATCCACTTCACCACAACCTTCCAAAGACAATGAGCCCGACAGCATTGCCACACTTGCACATTCAAAGCATCACTGACCTCATATCAAGAGTTCTAAAGAAATACACCGTTGAAATCAGATTTCTCTCTTGCTGAGAGCTTTAGCTCCGCCCCCTTGAACAATATATAAGCAGGTACAGAGTAGAATGCGAATCAGTTTCAATTAAGCTATGAAGAAGCCAACATGGTGATTGGCGAGTTTTGTAAATAGTATTACAGTGGTTGTTCCGAAGTAGACAATAACAACGTTGCAATTATTTATTTGAGGAATAAAATCTATAGATATTCTGCCGATTGGAGACTTCCAGAGACATGGAGTGCACCTTGGTCCTGGGTATTTCACGAAGACGACAAAAACGTCGCCCACAAAGGGTTCGTCGGCACCTTTAACCCGGCTAACAAAGTTGCGTCAACAACAACAGCCCGTAACTCTTGGCCGGCACATTTTTACCGCTACATTGCATAAGCAAAGCGAAGTTCCCGACCGCTTTGGGAATTGTACTCCGCGAAAGTTTACTCTTGGCGGCACACGGAGCTTGCCGGAATCGTAACGGAGAAATTGAACTTTTAATGGCGGCCGCCTAAAAGTTTGATTAAAGTCCTCCAACATTTTACTCTCTTTTACGCAGATGAAAACACGGCGGTTGCATTATATATAGGAGGAGTTTCGTGGTTGAGGGGAGCGGTGTAATCCTAGTTATCTGTTAAATTTTTGAAAAAAATAATAAAAAGGTTTATTTCTGATATTCCAGCTCATACTGTTCAAATTTTGACTGTAGTATTTTGCACCAATTTATGAAAAAAAAGTCAAATAACAGATTATTAAAATTTGACCTACGGGAATATAAGGTTCCAATTCATTTTAAAAGAAGGATAATGGAAATTACTTTCAAAACAAATTTCGTTTATTGGATGGAATCCAATATCTAAGTGTTTATTGATACTAATGGGTGGAGTAATTAATTTTAACAGATGAAAATATTACATTACATCTCCTAATATGTTAGGAATTCTAGCATAAGCAAATAGCATAAGTAAATAAAAAAAAGATGCCCTAATGAAAATTAATCCAAAAACTGGAGGTTTTTTTTTTCAAAATAATGTTATTTTGTATAGGTGACAATTGATGACATTTGACGTTGTGTTAATATATTACAAATAAATATAAATTGTCATGTATGTCATAAATGGCATGTAAAGGAGGTACGGACGTTTTTTATTAGCAAATATATTGGATAATTTAATTTTTTTAGTTTAAAATTGAATTACATATTTTGTTAAGGTCTTTAGAATCGGTTTTGTAATTAATTGATTTTTTGTTTTTTCGAATGTCTATACTTTCATAAAGTTCTCTTTTTTTGGTGTTAAGTTCTGTTAGTAGGACTTTAACTTTGTGTTGTGTTCTCGCAATGGGTATGAAGAGCTGTTTTATTTTTTTGGTCATACTTATGTCCGTTGATTCTATTTTTTAAATATTTTCTTGTTTGTCCTATATACACACTGCCGCAATTAGACCATGGAATTTCATATACTATATTACTTCTTTTTTCAACTGGAATTTTTGCTTTGAGTTTAGTAAAGAGGTATGTTTTTTGTAATTTATAACTTTTGTGTCCTATTTGAATATTGTGTTCCTTGAAAATGTTTTGGAGTTTTTCTAATAATCCAGATATATATGCTTTCTTTGAGGATTTTGATGTTGGTTTCTGTTTACGTTATTATAAAATTTGTTTTTACGTTTATTAAAGATATTATTAATTAACTTTATGGGATAATTATATTCTACAAGTGGGCGTTTTGCTTTTTGAATTGCGTCTGGTCTATACTCTGGATCGGATACTATTATGACGGTTTTTTTTTAGGGGATGATGTAGTAGATATATACTAGTACACTATTTGTTTGTATCGTATACAATAGAATAGAATAGAATTTATTGACCACGTTTTGTTGATACAATTATGGCAAGTCACAGATACAATATGTAGAAAAACATGTACATAAAAAGCAAGACAATGAATAAATTAGCACGAAGTAGCTTGTTATTTCTAGTTAAATAGTAATGGTAAGAGGAGTTATGACTGAAGCTGTCTATGTTTTTGTGTATTTCTAATAATTGATAATAAATATACAGACAAGGAAGTGGCATAATTTCCAACTTCTTAAAAATTGGTTGACAATGCTCCAGATAACCTGCACCGGCAATCAAACGAAAAGCTTTCTTTTAGAGTTTAAATGCCTAGTCTGCTGTGGCAAAATTATCCCAGAGAACAATGCCGGAAGTTAGATGAGAGTGAAAAAGAGTCTACTGATTATAAAAATATTAAAGGCAAGTTTTTTACACAAAATGTTAATATGAGGGGTCCAATTTAAACTCCCAAGAGCCTTACATTCTTGCCCTCCAGTATATTATTATTCTTATTATTATTCTTAGTTGAGTTCATTGGAGTCTTTGTCATAATTCACAAACGATGTATCGTCCCCATATAGTGTACACTTATTGGGGAACGGAAAATGATATAAGGCATTGATGTGAACAGTAGCCGACCCAAGACGGAGCCCCCCCACCCCTCACTAACAACTTTTTTATTGAACGTTTGGGGAAAAAACGTCATATTCATATATGTTCAAAAACTAATTAGATAAAACTTACCTATTTTTTAATTTAGCATCCTGTATATTATACGGTTAATAAAATCCCCTAAGAATTCTGCACCTTTCTTGTAATTCCAATAGTTTTTGAGATATATGCTCTTTTATCATAAAAGCAATAATTCAAAAAATTAAATAACATTCTACAATCTTAGGCGGCTGTGAAGTAGGTGGTCGGCTTCAGACAAAAAGCGAGTCTATAAAAAATTTCAACAAACATCCAGCGTATCCAGCAAGAAGAGAATGTACGTTTTGTATAATATCATATCCTAATACCTCCATCCTATACCTAAATTCAAGAGATTCCGAAATATTTGTTAACTTAAATGCAAAAATAAAAAATATTCTAGAATATATCATTTTCTTCAGTACATCTGATGTATGTTCGCCGTAATCTTTCTAAAGCGGCCGTGGTAGACTGAAAATATTTGAGCTTCTGTTCTAATCAAGTTTTAATTTCATCAATTCCCTTGAATTTCATCGGAGCTGAGCGCTAGTGCTAATTCTATTCAGTTTATTTCTTCATTTTCATTATATCGCTTTAGCGTTATTATTTTTAATAAATCTCGATTAAACGATTTCCAAAACTCACTTAAATCAACATCATCCATCAAGTTTATCATATTTTTTTTAATAATAACACATTTCATGTAAAAGTGGATTATAATCAGGTATTAGTGATCTCATCGGGATGAGAGTGAGCATTATTCCGCGAAATATGAATAATAGGAACTCGAGAATAATTTTTTATGGAGTCACACTTGAAATGTGTCAGAAGTTATCCAAGCAGCTTATTTAGAGAGACGTATTAAGAACAATTTCTACTTGTCGTTTGTATGCTACCATACTCAATTACTTTTTTCAAAATGCGGACCTGTTTCTCTTATAATCATTATTAGGAAAATGTAAAAAAAACACTTTTTTTGTGAATTTTTTGAAATCAGAAACTGAAAACAATGCAAGTTGGTATTTAGAAAATTTAATTCTAAATTTTCTTTCCTAAAATCAACCGATTTCAAGAAATTTGCTTTCTGTACTTCCGAAACCAATAGAAACTCGAAAACGGTGTTTAGATTAGGCATATGAACAGCATGGGGCCGCACACAGTTCCTCGCGGCACCCTTATTTCAAGAACACCCAGATTTACGGTAATGGGTTTCAATGAAACGTTTGTAACGCCGCAAATCCCGATCGCTGGCTGATCGAAAACTCACCCCATCCCAGCCGAGACTTCATTAAGGGTATCGAGGTAATATCCGTCCTCTTGGTCCCCCCGCAGTGTCTCCGCTTTCTGCTCCGTCGCGATAAAAAACGTTAACCACGTTATCGCCAGCAGGAACAGCGACGTCGTCGACGTCATACTGGCGGCGGTTGAGGCCGTGACGCGCAATTGATGACGGTTCCGCGAAGCTCGGAGCGGCCGCCGCCCTCCTGCGTTGCCGCCTCCGGTCTCTGATAAATGATTGAATCAATTACCGTGAAATTTGCCGACAGATTATCGTTTTTTATCTCGCGCGGTTCATTGCGTCCTCCTTATGACGTTCATCCGCTATAATGCTGAGCTAATCACGCTGGAATTCGTTATTGCAATGTTAAGTCATTTTCTCTCCCTCACTCTCCCTCTCTCTTCAGGACACAAGCGCACTTACAATAGACACAAATAACCGTAATGTACATAGTAATTAATATACTTAGATGTTGATCCTCCAGCTTATTTGATAAGTTGTGCAACATGTTAAAATGTCTGACAGCTATTACCAAAATTCATTGGCATCAATGCAATTTCTTTCTATCTCTTCATTTATATCTATAGTAATATAAAACACATATATGCTCTGTCTCTCTCTCCTTCTTAGCGTTTTGTTCTCTCTCTCTCTCTCTCTCTCTCTCCCCCCTCTCTAAATACCTTTGCGCTGCATTACGTTGATGCTTTAATACTCTTTATCTCTATTTTTTTCTTCGATTTCATACCATCACAAAAATATATAGGACATATTTAATTATATAATAATAGAAAATAAATATGCTGAATCTCATCGACAGCTGTTACCAAAATCTCTCTCGCTGTCTCTCCATTTTCTCTTTTCTCTCTCATCAGCACAACAGCACATCTGTGTCGTACGTAATATTTATATACCGAATAGGAAACACAAACACACACACGCACACACACACACACACACACACACAAACACACAGACACACCCATAGACACATACACACATCAGGGCAAGAAGATATTGAATAAGGTATATTTATTTTCATAATAGAAGATACAAAATCATTTGGTATTAATGCACTCTCTCTCCATCTCTCCTTTTTCTCTTTCCCCTCTTATTAGCACATTAGTACATCTGTCTAGTGTGTAATATATATATATATATATATATATATATATATATATATATATATATATATATATATATATATATATATATATATATATATATATATATATATATATATATATATATATATATATATATATATATATATATATATATAAGTATCTAGTAACAAAAATACATATGTAAACTGCCTCTCTGTCTACCTCATACACACACCAGCACAAGAACTCATTGATCAGTAATAGCTCCACTCATTGACAGCTAACTCCAATACCTTTTGGTGTTAATACACGTTTTTAATACTTACTTTCCATCTCTCTCTTTCCCTTCGGTCTTTGACTAGCGCAAGAATAAATCGAGAATATTTATTTATATAATAATAGAAAACACAGGCCAGGTCAAGATCGTTTCGTATTGATACACTCGTTATCTCTCTATCCCCCACCCACCTTCTTTCTCCTCTGTCTCTTACTAGCATGATCAGAAAATAATTGTATGCTGCATATCATAGACGACTATTATCAAGATCTTCTGTGGTTAATACATTCCCTACCTCTCCTTTTCTTTTCTCATTCTCACCACCCAAAAAATAGCCTCTCTTTCTCTAGCACCAACAAAACACATCGACAAGATGTAAATTGATTCACCTAGTAACAAAAATTACATTTGCCGAATCTCATTGTCATCTGGTACCAAGATTATTTGGTGATAATGCACTCCCTCTATCACGCCTTTTTATCCCCGGCCGCAGCACAATAACGATTCCGAGTAACACATATATAGATTATGTCTGTCCTCTTTCCTCCCTTTCGCTATATATATTTTTTATTTTCGGAGTTTGATGAACAAGCTGATTATGATGATCACAGCAAGAGATCTTTTAAAGAACATTGCTTCGAAGTGACTTACTTGAAGTTACTTAAAGTCGTTGGTAATAAAGATAGTGTCGTATTTGAGAATTCCTTGAGCCGTCGCTTTAGCCAGTCGTCCATCCATTAGTTTCAGAATTCGAACGGGGAAGTTTTCGGCGAACACGCTGTATAAAAGGTGTATTTTAGTGAACTGTAGTTTCCCAATAGATACATGGCATACGAACGGAGGACCGAGCAAGCACTCATTATTATTATTTGGTTCATAATTTTCAAGAAACTAAAAAGAAAGCTTATGGTTTTCGACTGAAAGGATTTTTTTGCCAAAGGTTGTTGAATTTTGGTTAATTCCAAAAATACGAGGAAAATTCAAAATAAATCCCGGTCCTGTTCTTAGTTGTTTGTACATTTGTTTACTCGAAAGCGGGATACGGTGCAGTGGGTCAGAAGCTTCCCAAAATATTTAAAAAATGCTAATTGGTTACTAAGGAGCTAATTGGTTAACATGAGTATCTCTATTTGAAATAAATTGAAGTTACAACATGAGATTTGTAAATTTGCATTAATTTGTTTCATATCTCGGTTCTTGTAAAGTACCAGTGATATGACAGTGACAGTTCTGAAAGTAAATGAGGATAAATTCCTAATACCACCACACACCTAAGTAAATAAAATATGATTCATTTTCTAAAATTGTTGCTTCTTAAAGTTGGTTTATTTCTAAGACTTTAGTTAGTTATGTTGCCTAAGAAATTAAACTTTAAACTTCCGGTATGTCTGCAAGTAGTTTTCTTTATTATTATTATTAATCGAATTTATAGTGCCTCGCAAAAAAAAATCAAAAAGAGGTAGAAATTCTAAACATGTTTACCCAATAACCTCTAAAGATAATATGATAATATTTATTAGGTAGCTTTTTTTTTTTATTGAAATCATTTGAGTTACGTTCATGATTTTAATGAGAACTTACTTACTTATCGGAATAGAACTTTAATACTTTGAATTGTTTACCGTAAAAGTCAAAGAGACTTTTTAAGATAAAAAAATAAATCATGCCCCACTTATAATTAAGACCGGACTTTACAAAGTGCGATAAACATAAACATAACAAAAAGCTAAGGATCACTGAAATTGGTTATTTAACTTAACCTTAACATACGAAGGAGATCTAAATTATTTTATTTACACATAGTTGATACAGTTTTAATGAAAGTGAAATATGAATTTTTAAGGCTTTGTAGGAATATGGGGGAGGTGGATAATACTTTCTTTAGTTACTCATTCACAGACTTAATATACAGGGGTATACTCGTAGACGTTTCAGCACAAACGTTGTGGACTTTAGATACTTCAAACCCTCCTTTTCTAAAATTAAGGAACGAAAATGAGTACTTTTCAGATGTTCTCTGGTATTCAAATACGTCGTTCGCCCACTTTTCCCTTTGACATTTTATTTAAACAATAATATATGATGACGTTAAACTATAATTAAATTTTCACCCTTAAACACTGGCAAATCATTAGCGAACGCTCCGCACACGATGTCCGGAAAATAAAGGAAATCGCGCGAAATCCCACTTCTGACGTTTGCTGATGCCCCGGGATCCGACGACTTAGACCGTCCTTCCGCTTGTCCACTAAAACGCGGCCGACGTTACATTATCAACATGTTATCGTTACGTCCAAATATGAACCCCCCGGACAGCGAGGACGCTTTACGAGAGGCTTAACAGTCTCCCGTGGGTTCGCGCGCGAGTGTCCCGACCCGAAACGTCTGGATACGGTTGTCACGACGAGCACATATTATTACGTAAGGTTTCGGCAAACTCGAGCGGGGTGCGACTGAAAACGCAAGAGTGACATGCACGATATCTTTGTAATTAGAAACGTTTATTGAGCCTGATGATTAATTGTGATGAATGGCTCGAGCGGGACATAATTAATCATGGGCGGAGGACGATAAAATTTTTGCATGGAGATCTTTGTTCGACCGGCTACAAATGTCGGAGTTGTAGGAGATTAAAGCTGCTATGTTCTCGGTGGAGAAAAAAACAGCATTTAATCGAAAGCTAGACGAGCGATTAATTTCACTGGTCTGCAAAAAAAATTTTTTTTTCTCTCCTTGTTGTTTTCATGCATGAATTCATCTTATTTTATGCTCTAAACACGGAATCTGATATACAAATAAGTACCACACGTAGGTTTTTAATTTAATATTTATTTCATCAAAAAACAATATTATTAAAGTATACATTATAATTTATTTTTTTTCGAGAATCCTCGATGTCCTGCAGAAATAACAATCATTCTCATGATTTTGAGGCTCACTCCAAATCATTGGCATTGCAAACGGCATGGATTTGTGACTTTCTTCAAGCCAACCTCTCAACGTTCTTGAGCAGCTATTGAAGCATACTTTTGGCAACCAACTTTTATCTCGCTCATCGATAGAAAATCCAAAATGTAGCTTATAAGCTGTTTTAACCAGATCCGTCATGACATGTCGCTGTGTTTTTAGTATGAATTCCGCGCAAATGTAGCAAAAACAATCTGAGGAATTTTTACAAGTCCGTGGCATTTTATAACCTAAAATCACATAAAATTAATTTTAAAACAACTTTCAAACTTCTATTTTATATTTATTGACTCTACTTTATGCAAAATTTACAAAAATATTTGATATAAAAGGTAAACAATTAAACGACAAGTTTTCACTGAACTGTTGTAGTGTCACAATGAATACTGCGCATGCGTGTATTTACTACCATAAAAATCACCTTCGGCACTTCCCACCTTTCTCTTACAACTCTCTGAAACTCATTTTGTATGTATATTTACTTCTTGTAACGTTGGCGAATGAAAAAATTGAAAAAAAAAAACAAAATTTTGAAATAAAAAAAAAATTATATCGAAAAATCTAGACGTGATAGAAAAAATCGGCCAACGGGGATAGATTCAAAACATTTGAATCATTATACTTATAAAATTATTTAAAGGAGGATTTCATGGCCAACCAGTGTTTTTGCAAGTAATAGTAAAAACCGACAACTTTAGATCAGGCCTCCAAAAAAGTATCTTTCTTTAATTAAAATATGAATATTTTATGGGATGCCTATGCTCCATTAAAAACAGTCGACCTTTAAAATGAAACACTTACCTTGGATCACAGAAAACCCTAAGTTTCTAATAAAATTAAGAAATAAAGCCAAACTTAAGTACAACAAAGAAAAAACAAGCCCGTTATAGAGCGCTTAGAAACTTTAGTAACATTTGATCCATTGCGAGAAAAAAGCATATATAGAACATTCTTTAAACAAGGAAGACAAAAAAAGTATTTTGGAAATCTCTAAAAAATTTATATGTTATACAAAGTACAAAAAACAAAGGACAAAAATTCCTGACCAACCGTCAAATCCAGATTTTATAAACAAGTCTTTCGTTAACTCTATTCCAATTTCAAATTCAATGATCGACTACTATGAGAACTCTCCTTGTTGTCCTTGCCCTTTTATATTAAAGTACATCTGTCATTTTATGTTTTTCCCTCTCTTTGGAAAGTAGCTAATATTGTCCCTCTTCCTAAGATTGACAACCCGCAATCGTTTAGCAAGTTAAGGCAAATTTATAGTCTAACAATATTACCCAACGTGTCCTACAAACTCAAATACCAATGGAGAAACAAAAGGAGAAACTAATGGACAATAGACAGGTAGGTTTTAGGAGGGGGCACAGTTGTGCTACAGCGCTTCTTTAAAAGGATTGATGAAGGTAAGTGCACTGTGTTGGTTCTACTCGATTATTTTAAGGCTTTTGATACCATTAGTCACAATATTCTGCTCACTATTCTTAAATGCTTAGGTTTTGGGAAGGCATCCGTAAATGTAATTAAAAACTACTTAACAGGGAGATAACAAAAGGTGGCCCCGAACATAAGAACTGGGGTTCCTCAAGGCTCTTCTGGATCCCTTCTGCATCTGTTCTTGTTGAGTCGAACTAGCTAACGTTTCGCCAGTCATCCTGTTAGCTTCTTCAGCTCAGTTCAACTCAACAAAAACCGACGCAGCAGGAATAGAGAAGTTTTATGAAAAGTATTTTCTAAGACTGTTTTCTGCATATTATTATGGTTACTTTTACAAAATAATACAAATAAAAATATTGTTACCGTTACCAGAATGTGTTTTACTCCTCTTTGATTAACACACAATAACGCGTTTTACCACAAACCGAAACTCAATTTTACGTACTTGACGCGCGTTTCGCCAACCAAGTTGGCATCTTCAGGAGAAGATTAAAACTCAGTTTTATTCTGAATATCTGAGTTTCGGAATATCCCTGGCATTGGAGACAAGATAAATTATTGACTGACGCCTTTTCTTTAACTCAAACTCTTGCCTTTCCTGAGTTATTTAGTCGAATCTCTGCCATAGGGTCTAGCACAGGTTACCCATAAGTCCTATGTCTTTCCCACCTAGCCCCAGGTTGTTAAGATACGATATGAGAAGCTCGTGTTTGACGTCAAATAATTTTTCATAATCTATGAAGCACATAAGACATCTTTCCTCTTGTGGTGGTAGCTCTGTAACAGCGTTTGCAGGGTAAAAATATTTTCTCTAATTCCAGACCCGCTTTTGAAATCAAATTCATTGGTTCCGCTCACTTCTTCGTATTTTTTGTATACTTTTGTGTTTGTAACACGGAGAAAGAGTTTTAGGAAATGACTCATGCGACAATTTTGATGCATAGTTCACAGATTTATTTTTTCCAAAGAGATTCAGATATACTTTCTTTAGTACTTATATGTGTCGTTGTTGTCTTTGATTTTACACTTTTGATCCATCAGTTTTTCGCTGCTGTCTTATTCTCGGTGAAGTACGAATAGACGCTTGTTTGACATCAAGTCAATATTTCTTGGTATTAATCTAGTGTTAATAATATTCTATAGTTCTATATTGAGATGGTGTCTGTACTTTGTTCTTGTTTGTTCGTCGTTAAGTAATTTTGGATAGAATGTGTCAGTCTATTTCTTCCTGGCATTGTGTTGACTTTGGTTACTGTGTTTCTAAAGCTTCTGTTGATTATGATATAATTTATTCGATTGGTTACAAACTTTTCATCCGCACAACGATTTATTAGGTGAAAATCTTAAAATCAAATCCACTGACACAGCATTGCAATTATTGGGATGTGTTATCACATGACTCCTCTTGCCATTTAAAAAAAATACTTAAAATGATGCCCTGTTGTCATTTTGACATTTTGAGTAATTGTTTTTATGTCACGTCATATTAGATATTTTAATTATGCCGAAACTACCCCCCACCCCCTCTAACTCAATTAATGTCGAACTCGACATGTCATTGTGGCTAATAAAATAAAAAAATGAACGTTTAACGACCCCCTCTTTGATCTCCATTCGTTCGGCGCGGGAAAAAAAAACGGATGACGGTCGCGGCGGGAGGGGGCGGAGGCCCAAAAACTCAATTACCCCGAAAACCTCCCCTCGGGGCACTTTTCGCGTCACAACGCGTGATGGCGTTAATTATTTGCAAGACGACGTCCGTTTGTATATCAGGCAGTTTCAATTATTTCTGCCCCGCCATTGTTTTAAGCACTTTGCCGTGACGCAAACAAAAGCTTAAGGCTTTCAGCAGGTGGGAAATTAATCAGGAAGGCCCACAAAAGGATTAAATTTTACCTCCGGCTCGGCGTAAATACGGCCGTGCCGTTTCGCCGCCATTTTGTGCGTTTTCTATTTTTTTTTCGCGACGTGAGCGACCCCTCTCGGTCTCCCTGTGCCACTACCAGAGAAAAGCTTTGTTCGAGTTTCTGGTAAAGCTAGAATTTAAGAATTCCACAAAAGCTGTGCTCGATTCGTTTATCGTTTGAGAAAGTTTGATCGACAAATTAAACCCAACATGGCGTCTCAGGGCAAACAAACAAATTAAATAACTTTTCTTTATCAGCGAAACTGTTTAGCAAATGATCTTACTTTCCGTTTGTTGAAAGTGTTTCGCATATTAATTTTTGATTTTAAAGTGTATTTTGCCTTTCTTAGCTCATGATGTGTATAGTGTAGAAATATTTATTTTTGTTAGTGTAGTAAGAGTATTTATTTTACTTTGAAGGAGATAAAATATCAAAAAGGTTGAGAATGCCTCACACACATCATCAAGTCGCTTTAATCCTTCGAGCCTCACCCTTATAAAATTATTCTTTAAAGACTTGGCATATTATTTTAAAATTTGTATTTTATTATTTTACAATATGATTTGAAAAATTAAAATTAAATTTTTTTTTGTAATGATGTCTGTTTTTCAAATTTGAATCATGAAACTAGAAGTAAAAAATCAAACCACAGTTTTATTTTATTTTTTATTTTACATATTTACTATAATAATACATAAGCATAATAACATAAATAAAACATTTTTACTAATAATAATTAAAATTAAGATAAATTAATTTGTAGTAATAGGTAAATACCTATAATACAATAATATTATTATGTACTCTTTTTAAAATTGAGCTGTCATTATCACCAATATTGTTAATTATTTTCTGTTACTTTATCTAAGGCTCAAACAAAGTTCTTTCTCCTGCTGCTATATATATTCCTTCATTTGAAACGGTCTGTGGTAATATAATTCAAAATTCGTTGCACGCATCTTTTACGCTATTTTCGAATAAATAATTAGTATTTTTTAGAACAATTAAAATATTGTAAAAACTGTTAAGTGTTGACATGTATTATTATTAATAAAAAAGTGGCAAAATTCAAAATGATTTCGAGACAAGATTTAAGAATAGTATAATTATTCATTTATGTGAATTCCTAAAAAAAAATTATTTTCTCTAAACACAGCATTTCATGTATTTAATTAAGTAATGTAGCTGAGATCAAGATGTTATGCTAATTTAGCTTAGACTCACTTGTGGCGAGCTAATTTGTCTATTACGATTTATCCATTCCCCTTTCCAAGGTGTATTTTATCTAAGTTTTTATCGCCATTGATCCTGGATAGCTTGGATGAATCTCTCTGTTCCAGATAACAGGTCAGGTATAAGGTGGACAATCCCCTCCATCAACGTCATTGATTTTCCATTATTTTTCTAATGTTTGATTTTTTTATTTCAGGAGGAGTTGAAAGTGGTGGAATGGTGGAATTAGTGGGTTACATGCTGAATTTCCTGGTTTAACAATCCCCTTCTTTTCTTTTTTTGTAAGAATCTTTTACTACCTACTAAAATGCTATTCACAAATCTTCTGGCTTCTCCCTGCGTCGGTTCTTGATGAACTGAACTTGCTGGCCTTTCACGAATTATCCTGTTGGCTTCTTCAAAGCTTTTACTGAAACTAACTAACTCAGTTTCAGTTGGGCATCAAAGAAGCCAACATGATTATTGGCGAAACGTCAGTAAGTTCAGTTCATCAACAACCAGGAGGAAACCAGAAGATTTGTCAATAGTACCTCGCCTGGTGGTTTAATTAGTACTAAGTGAATCATTGTCATTGTTTTATTTTTAATCAATAAAAATTTACTAACTCAATACTCAACTTAACATCCAACACCTGTATTTATCCTGTACTATAAATCGGTAGGAATTTAGGGAACGGTCCCGTTTAAAATGCATATTTAAAGCACTCGGCGACCCCCTTAATACCTGATTTATAGTTCTCCTACGTCATAAAGCATCACTGTGGCCTTATCTGACTCTAGAATAAAATTTATTTTTCGCGTTCTCGTATTTGTCACTTTTATTTGTCCGTTAGAAAACCGTTACGTCCGGATCGAGATGGCAACGTCGCCGTCTTATAAATTATTTTATTGCAAACTTATTCCGATTTAAGCGGCGACGACGAGTGACGTTTTTTGTTGTCTTTTTAATTTTAAAATTGTTGGTCGGTGCGAAGAGATAAATAATTGCGTATCTTTTTACTTCGTCGTTTTTAACTATCCGGGTGTAATTAAATTCGTTGCGGCGCCGCCGGCGTCGACGAGTCATACGATAATTACCCGAACTTAGAAAAACCGTGAACTCAATGCACCTCATCAACTATCTTGCGAGACTGCGGAAAAACAATTAAGACGACACAAATGAGCTTAATCGCCGAGCAATGCCGTCGCCGCAGCGATGCCAGTCATTTAGATGGATTGTCGGCCGGCGAAATCATCGTAATTTCGAAAAATAAAACTTCGTAAATCCCTCCAAATTCCATTATAAAACTCTATATAAATAATTACTGCCTTAAACCACTGATAAATCGTCATAACTCATCGATAAATCACCATAAATCATCGAATATTCTCAAAGATATAATACATTTCTTTGAGGCGTGAATCACAAAGGAATGGATTTAAATATCGGTATAGTTCACCATAATTTATAGTATTACTGTGGGTTAGTGGATTAGAAAGATTATCGACTGGTGAAATCATCGTAATTTCGCCAAATAAAACTTTATGAATCCGTTCAAGTTCTATTATAAATCTCTATATACATAATTACTAATTTTTAAGGCTTAGCTAATTTAAAATCATCAATAAAGCGTCTTAGATCACTGTAAATCCACAATAAATCCACATACTTCACTGTAATTTATAGCAATGCTGTGGGTTAGTCGATTAAAAAGATTCTCGACTAATGAAATCATCGTAATTTCGACAAATAACATTTATAAATCCGTTCAAATTCCATTATGAAAATGTGTATAAATAATTATTGTCATAAATCACCACAAATCGTAGGAAATTCCCAAAAACATAACGCAATTGATTAGGAGGCTTGTTGGCTGACGAAATGATGGTAATTTCAGCAAATATATTTTTTTTTAAATCCGCTCAAATTACTTTAAATAAGTATATGTGTCACTACTACATTTGAACTTATGGCTAACAATCTGAAAGACTATCGTGTTAGCTCAATAAGTAAATTGGTGATTAGTTGATTGGTGAATTGTTGTAAATCATCGATAAACCAAAATAACTTCTCAAAAATGCGCTGCAATTTTTTCAAGCTTGCAACGCGGATAAAAGTAGGAATATAAATGATAGGTAAATTGCCAATAAAACATATTAGATCAGTGCCGTCGACCCAATTCAAATCATTTGGACGCAGTATTGGCCTGCGAATTCGTCGCAATTTCAACCAAAAAAACTCATGAAGAAGCCACTAGGATTATTAGTGAAATGTCAGCAAGTTTGTTTTATCAACAATTGACCCAGGAGGAATCCATCTGTGATTTAAATCTTTTGAAAATTATTTTTAGACCATTTATAAATAGTTGTAAATCATTGATGAATCACCATAAATCACCGGAAACTTAAGATCACACCGTAATTCTTGGACGCGGATGAAATGAAACATCTTGGTTCTCTGCAAATCCCTAATAAACCAGCATACTACTCTATTATAGCAACTATGCAAACTATTTAGGCACGTAATCGAGAATATATAGCGAAATCATAGTAATTTCAACAATAAATTGTAGTTAGCAGCGTTAGAACTTGGGGATAACAACCAAAAGGATTAAGAAATATGTGATTTCTATCCCATTAATAAATCGTAGATCATTCATCAGCATAAGTAATCGGAATTCGCCACTAAATGTCATAATCCGTCAGCGCCACGGCTATAACATTTAGACGCTTGATAAATAATAGTGAAGTCGTCAATAAAGCGCATCAAACCCCTGCAAATCCTCAATAAATCAGCGTAAATCACGATACCTATTCGTGTCAGTTGTACTCTGGGTTGACAAACGGTAAAGAAAAGAAAACGTTCGTAACATTTATTAATTTACTACAACAAAAATAATGTTATGACCTAATCGAGTACCAAAATTCCGAGAAGATTTTTCCCAGGTGTGACGTGAGCAGAGGTCTGGCGAAATAGAGCAGCAGCGCTTTCAAAATAGGGAAAGAGAGCAACACGACGAACAGGTACTTGACGATCTTGTGGAAAAACAACAACCTGAAATAAAAAACATATTCCACGCCTAATCACTGATGTAAAATTCGAATTTCTTAAGAGCATAAAAGGATAACACGTGCCTATCACATTTCAGACTTATTTCTGTCAGACGGTAAACTTATTAAGTTAAAAGGAAACGTTGAAGCACAAACGAAATAATTCCCCCCTCTCTACCGACGAGAAATAGGGTAACTGGGTTTACCTCCGATATCGCTCTTTGTGATACTCAATTTTCGACATATCCTCCTTGAGTATATATTTCTTTAATCCCATCAAGATGTTCTTCAGATATTCGTCGACGTTAATGGAGCTCAGGTCAAAGTGGAACGTAACTCTATCCGCGGGACTCAGTTTTTCCCATAGCGCTTTCACGTTGTTGTTCTTAATTGTCCACTCGTTTAACACGAAGTAACTCAATACGTCAGAAAGTTTGGCTATCTTCGAGTAAATCTTTCGCATCCTGTAAAAATCAAAGTACATGAATGGGAGTATCGGGTGTCACAACTCCCTAGCGGAGAAAAGAGTTTTTTTTTTCTAAATTGCTTAGACGAGACCCTCCAGATTTTGAGAAGTTGGGAAATGTAATTCGGGTGTTCAAATAAATTGTTTTGTTAAAATATTTGATCTAACGCATTTTTAGATTAATTGGATATTTAACAGCTCAATGTTGTTATTTTTTTCTTAATAACTGGAGTTAGATTTCGCATTTTTTAAATAAAATAATTATTCATTACAAAAAAAAATCCTTATTAACCACCATAATGGATTTTTTAACTAGTTGTATTGCAAAAACACCTATCATTTAATCGATAAATGGAAATAAATATAATGTTTATGTATAAATAAAAATTTATTTTTTTCTTTCTTTCTCTATTTCATTTTGTATTTACGTGGTCCTGCAAAGTTAATAAGCCACTATTATTTTTACTTGTGTTTAAACACATTTAGGAAGAATATGGTGTATACTGTATAATTCATTTATAATTAAGTTTCGTATATTTAAATAAAATGATGATGCTGTAACGCATTTAAAAAAAAATTAACAATTTTTTTTACTATTAACCATTGTAATTGCTTTTTTCAGCAGTTGTATTACAAAAACACCTATCCTTTAATCGATGATAAATAAAAATACCTTTTTTTATTTCTTCCTTTCCCTATTTCATATTGTATGTACTTGTGTTAAAACATTTTTAACACGAAGATGGTGTATACCGCAAAAAATCCATAAACATAATATTAATTATTCAAAATACATATATTTCGTAAAGTACCTATTAAAAAAATAGTTCAAATTGTAACCTGTAGCTGGATATATACCCATAATAAATTATTAATTTCTGAATTATATACAGAACAAAATTTTATGTCACAATTATTAAATTTTTTTGTTTCTGTTTCTGCAGAGCGTAATTGGATTATGCAATAATTATATTATTATTATTTATTTTATTCCATGTTATTCATTTGTAATTAGAAATTATGTTTTCATTATATACAATACGGAAGAAAAAAATGTGATACAAAAAAAATAATATACTAAAAAATTGATTATTTTAAGAAGAATACTGGAAAAATTTTGCTTATGTGGTCTTCTCGTATACGTACGTATATGTAATTTTCAATTTCAACAGAAACTTAGCCCGAAGCCGTCTGTAACTTCTTTCTTGTTTTGACTGTCCAACTCAGTTAACTTATTTAGCTGCGATCTGGAAACCCAGAGGAGGTACGAAAAAAGTTTCGTGTTCTCACCCAAACACCCTCGACATCAACTTCGTTAATTTAAATGAAACACCCTATATTTGAACATTTTTGGAATCCTTGTTTAAAATAAGGGTCACTTTCTTAAGAAATTCCTAATCAAATTTTGTATAGTGTATACAAAAATTGAGTTCATGTGTTGTTTATTCATATTTTGATTGCTCCATATAAAATTGTGTTGTGACGCTACTGACCCAGATATTGCAACAAAAATTTAACCAGAGACTAAGGAGATGATGCACTACTCAATCAGTTTGGCAGATGCTCCTCAGCTTATACAGGTTGGCCAAATAGGTGGTGCCGTTTTGGCGAATTCAATTAACAAAATCTCAAAATTTTCAAATGGAACACACTATATTTTAATTCAGTTATCAATTCTAGGACAAAAAATAATGTAAGTTTATAATTTATCTTTTTTTTTAAATTTTACTTACTTTTTAAGATATTCGAGGTTTAATATAACACCCGTTTTTGTTGAATTTAAAGCTGCCCACAATAGGTCGTTTGTTGGCAATATTAGGTATTTTTTAAATAGCAAATACATGGTTCTACTTCTTTTAAAGATAAAACTCCAGATATACTTAAAGTTTATAGGCTAACCAAACAAGGTAGCAAATTTGAATAAATAATTATATAAAACAAAAAAAAACAGAAACAAATAACTAAAAAAGACTTAAATATGGTGATACTGTAATATATTTTCAATATATTGTATGTTTATTTATTAATTAATTTATTAATATTTATATCATATTTATATTTATATTAATTTATTATTAATTTATTCATTATTATATTTATATTTATATTATATTATTTATTTATATTATTACTATTAATTAATTATCGATATTAATATTTATTTTAACCAAGGGTTTCAAGAATGTCCAAATATATAGGGTGTTTCATTTCAAATAACAAAGTTTTTGGGAAACTCTGCATCAACAAAATTATAATATTAAATCTTCAGGAGAGTCCAAAAAACTTTTGCACGAAACTTTTTTCCCTATCCCCTATGGGTTTCTAGATCGTATAGTGGATCGTTTTATTTGGAACACGGTGTAATTGTATGTTATATGTACCTCTAATACCTCTAATATTGTTAATTTTATTTTTATAAGTTTTCATTGTAATCTTCACGAATAGAACATTGTTAGAAGACAGGCAACAAAGATAATTCAGCAGCTAAGAAACTAAATTTCTTAAAATTAAAAATTTTGATGTTGCAAAAAAGTGTTTTTTAATCACGAACTATGTATTAATCCTTCTGCAGATGAAACTGGTTCAAAGTCCCGCTCGAGTAGGTAACCATTTTTTTTTTATATCTTTTTTTCAAGTTTGTTACGCCCTGTTCAGTGACACCGCCGCCAGGACCAAGGGAAAAAATGCCCGATCTCCCTTATCCGCATTCTCATCAAATCGTATCGTCTCTGAGACGTCCTATCAACTTTTTATCCCCTACTTCATTTTATTTCATGACGGAACACGGGTAGCTTTCTTTTTTTTTCGGCCGGCTCAGAAAATAAGTGCCACGGTCGTTACGAGCCGTTTTGTAATTAATCTTTATTCCCGGCACTTCGGGGGGGTTGAGGGGAGCACCGATTAATCATCCCTGATATATTAAATATATTGACTTTCCTTTAAGCGACGGCGGACACCTTTAAATAAAATAAAAGTTCCCCCTTACGATTAAACGATAATATGCTCTATTTTTTTTGTTGCTTTTTTTATGTTTTCATTTGTTTTCGAGATACACTATAGACTTTATAATTTTCTTATGGGCACTATATTATCCATAGGCCATAAAAATACTTATAAATGCATTTATCATCATTCTTAGGGTAACAAAAGCAAAGAGTAAGTCTTTTTTATAGTAAGATATAATCAGGAACAACATGGTATTAAATAAGCATCACGAATTTTATAAGAAATATCATATTTATTAGGGTAATTACTTATTTAAATTAAAACTGTGCATTAGCAAACAGTTTTAAGTCAAATTTGAAGGATTTACTTTTTACCGTTAATAACTCAAAGAATTTGAAGCTTTTATGAAGATTGATAAATATAAAGTCATTAATCTTCAAATGTCGATAACTCGATACTATTTTATTTGTTCATTTTGTTTTATAGACTCATACTTCATTTTAATTAGCTACATTTTAGATTGACTCATTTTTTTGTATTATACCGCTTTTGTCCTAGGTTTTGACGATGTTGCTATTAGCTGATATCCATAGGATAAAAAAATATTTGTTGTATATCTAAATGTCGATACTACATTGTTTGAGTAGTATTTTTTTTTTATTTCTGAAAGGGCAAGTATTTATGTCAGATTCAGTAGGCGTACTCAGTAACCGCCACAGTTGGCCATGATGAAAAAAAAATTCCCTTGTTGAGTCTTTCTCTGCTATGTGTATGGTTAGTTTTGGTTGGTTTGATATCTATTATGAATTATTGATATATGAAATTTTTGTTAACATATACGTCGATGTCGATTAAAAACGAAACGAATTCGTTAACATTTACTCTACTAATTATTTTATCTTGACAATGATATTAAAATAATAATTTTGTTAATAAAAATATTAAGATTACATACAAATTAGAACGTTTTTTTAAATAAATATTAAACTTTACATTTCGTATTGTCCATTTTCGTAATTCAAAATAAACTTATAAGAGCAAACCCTTCTTTTAAAATATCTCACCGATGTTTCCCCATACGTGACGTAGACGTAGACGTAGACAAAGCTAGCGAGTGCGATAGAGCGACTTACCTCGGTTTTTGACACGTGAGCATCAGCAGCGTGTCGAAAACAAAAGCAGGCACGGTCTGTAGAACGAACGACAGCGAGTTAAACAGGTGCTTGTTCTCGACGATGTAAAGCACCGGACTCCATATTGCTTTCTTAAACGGCGGAAATCCGCTCGCCGCGGCTCTGTCCGTGTATTCTTTTATCGATATGTAGAGCGGACTGTCGTATCCCGAGAAATTTAAAACTTTGGGTTCGTAGTTCAGGAAGTCGTGGACCCTGCAAGTTACACGGGGATGAAACTTTCTTGATATAAAGCGAGAAGTAGCGATGTAAGGCCTGTTCTGGCACCGATGGCTAGATTCGTCCCCCTGCGCATACGCAGTATAGAAAAAAAAAGAGTTTTGGTTAGTTGATACTTCTATAATGATTTTCTGGATGTGTACATAAAAAACCCAAACAAAAAATTCTTTGGGTTCCTTGATTCATTTGATAGTTATTTTCGAAAGTTTTATACAGCCTTGCAATTTTAGTTAGTGACTTAGTGACATGAGGATTAATGGTGTACACTGTGTAATATCTATGGGGACATATATTGGGATATATGGGATTTCCTTTATTTTAAATAAAAATAAACATATGTTGTTTTATGTTTTAAGGGTCTTGGTTTTTTTTAGATACTAAAGAAATCTAACAAAAAATTATCCAGGAATTGGCTTTTTGAAAGTTACTTTCAAATCTTTTCTGTCCTTCGGTTCTGGTTAGTTGGTGGCATACAATGGGGGGATAAATATGTAATAATTTATAACAGTTCCTTGTTACTCATTAACCTTAAAATACTTATATTACTGGAGTTTTTCTTGGCTTGAAATTGTTCAGCAAAAAAGCAAAAATGGATATTTTTCAAGAATAGAAGATATAAAACTAATTGAAATAGAATATAAAAATTAATAAAATAGTTTATATATAATTTCCCTAAGGTATGTAAATATGTTTTATATAAAATATTTAACTATTTAATATTTGCATATTTTAGATTCTTGATAAATATCCACATTGTTTAAAATTTTAAAGAATTTTTGTACTACTGAACAAACTTTACCTAAGAACAATAATTTTATAATAATAATTTACAATGTACAGTTATTTCTCTGTGGATTTTGTGGGCATTTAAACAAATTAAGCCCCCGGCTGGTTGGGAATGACATATGATTTACTTTCTTCAAAATAAATATTAATGTATTTCATTGTAGTTAAACAATACATTTCATATTTTCTGAAACTCTTGTCTTTCTTAGATATGAAAGAGGACTAACAAAGAATTATCCACTTAATATAAATACCCATAGTTGGAAATTTATTATTTCAATTATTTGATTGCTATTATTTGCTTCAATACGTTACGAAATGTGTCGGTTTTCTAGGAAAAAGAGCGGGCTGTCGTATCCTGAGAACTTTGACACTTCAAGTTCCTTGTTGAGGAAGTCGTTCACGATGCAATGATATAAAGCGAGAAGTAGTGATGTAAGGCGTGTTCTGGCACCGAATTTTTTTAGAATTGTTTTAAAGTTGGTGGGGGTAAGTAAACTAATTTGAATTTATAAGGGTTTTCTGGGTGTGACTTGAAAAACCCCAGGGTGTAGAGGATTATATGCTCCTTATATTTCTTAAATTTAATATCTTCTGATTGTCTTGCATATTTTTATATGTAAAATGATCCCAACAAAAAATTGTCAACCACATTTACGTACCCACGGTAGGAAATTTATTCCTTCATTCCTTTCATAGTTATTTTTAAATATTGTGACTTATTGTGCACGTTTTTCCTTGCTTATGACGATAAAAAAAAGTTCATGGAGTGCAAAAAGTTTGAAATTCAAGATCTCAAAGATCTATTTAACAAATCATATCAAAACTATTTAAAATCCCGTTTCCCTCGCTCAGATCACCAGGATGCGTTGTGGAATAAAAACAACCTTAGATCAATTATTTTTAGTGAGGTTTTGAGGCATCGGAAGCCGATCGCGGCTAAATTAACCTCAAAATCGAGAGTTTAAATACCTACCACGTGTTATAAACGTCCCAGGCAAAACACAATAGGGCATTGATAACCATATCTCCGGGGACTGTATCGGCTTTTATACTGCCGTTGCCCCTCGCGACCCGTAGAATTCCACAGTGCTCGGATAGAAGTATGCCCAGGGGACCGTAGACGTTATCAGTCCAACCCGGAAAAGGCTCGGACACGGCCGAGGTAACTGGAAAGTGGAAAAGAACAATCGACATTTTTAATAACGTTCTGTTCACGGATTCCGAGCGTCGGAGTTGTGCTGCTCCGAATAGAACGTCATTGTTTTGGCCCGATCCAACGTAAAGCTGGTTTAAAAATTTAAAGAGCTAAAGAAAATAATTTTTATGCGGAAAATACAGACTTAAAATTCTCTTTTATATACTAAAAGTACTGAAATCCACTGAAAATAGTGGGGGAAAAAACGTTGTTTATCTTTAAAAAAAAATTATAGGTAACAATATATTTTGAACATTTTAAATTTGATAATTTGAGAACTAGAACTAGTACTGCTGCTATCAGAATCAACATACATATGTGACGATCAAACTTGAATATCCTGGAAGGCACGGTTACCTCAGAAGTTGGCAGTGGGTCAACAATGAAAGAAATCCCGTTGGTAATTTCTCAACTACGGTTATTATTACTATTGAATAACGATTCCACTTACCTATTGTAGGCCTAAACAGCCCTATCGGTAATTGGCCGCCCTTTTTCTGCAACAGATTCTCAGCAACCGATTTGGTGAAGACGTAGGAGTTCGGGTACTGGCCCACAAACCTGCGAATTCCAATGAACTTTTCAATGCATTGTTGTAGCAAGTTTTTTTTTCTATTTCATTCATTTTTCATTTTCATTTTCATTCATTCCACTTATTAGCCCATGCCAATATATGGGCGTTTCAACTTCTGCTTGAATTATGGCCGGGTGGTCCAGCGTCATTTTTCTGCTTTTAATATTTTATATTATAAATTAATGTAATTTGGAGAATGAATCCTCAAAAGAACGTCTTATGGTCATACTTGGTCAGCCATTAAGGTAACGTTATATCGATTAAGTATCACTCAAGTGCGATATTTGATAAAACAAGCTTTCCTTAACTCTTTATTTGTAATTAAAATGCAACTTGTGAGTGAGTAAAGGAGAATTTCATGATTGTTAAATTCCTTCTGCGTCTAGCTAGTAGTGTTTGTTAAAGAAGAGAGACATCCTGAAATATGTTATGTATTTGAAGGATTTGTTTGTTGTCCAGAATGATAGCGATGAAGAAAATAGACCAAGGTTGCCAAAAAGTTACATAAGGAACCAATAAAATACAATTAACCTTGCATAATGATGGTGAATTTAATTCTTGTTTAAAGATTTTTAATTATGAAAATAATTTACCACTAATCTATTACCAACTTGAAAAAGACTGCAACAGGGCCTACCAGTTTCCCCATTACTTCAAATGCTTTCGGGTTTAAGATAAAGAAGGAAAGTTTCAGCTGGTTTGTGTCATCATTATCTATTAATTAATATTTTTCTCTTCACTTTTATTTTACGTTATATATATTTTTATCTGATTGGTTAGTTAGTCAATCAGGTGTGGGTCAGATAATAGCAAGCAAATAAGAAATCCGTTAATGATTTATATTTTAGGGCAAAATTTGTCTGCAGATCTGAAAACGCCGGAGGGTATCATGGAGGGGGGGGACAGTGGAGTTGACTGGCATTCCAAGGTGAAGATTCCTTTCTTACGAATGATTCACTAGAAGAGAAGGAACGATGTGACAAAGACGTAATGAAAGCGTTTAGGAATGGCGAATCATTCCAACAGAAATAAAAAGAAAATGGTCGATTTACTGGCAGTCATGAAACTTTGCACTCATTTCGGCACAAAATGGGATTGAGATTTAAAGATATTGACAAGCGTAGTTGTATTAAATAAACCCATGGTGGACATCACTGATCATCATGCTAAAACCAGATTTACCACTTATCTGAAATTCTCTCAATATCTTCGATCCGTCAAAGGCAAAATTCCATTTGAGATACCAGGAGTTTACAGCATTCCATGGATATGCGGCAAAGAATATATTGGAGAAACGGGTCTAGGAATATCAACCAGGTTAGAAGAACATGAGAACATCAGCAGTTGCCGAACACAAGCATGGTACCGGTCAACCAATATGGGAATCAGTTATTCGAAGTGTATGTAGTATATACGCAGGTACAGAATTGGAGCCAGTTTAAGTTCAGGTCTAAAGAAGTAGACAGGATGATTTTCATTAGTGTTGACGTTAGTTTTTGAAATCTCTGATTGTGATTTTGGGTACAAAATAAAAGAAGAGAGTCACTGAACCCATAATTAAAACACTTTACCTCTGCTCTTCTCTGTAATAATTTCCACATTAGAGATATTAAGCATTCCATCACAAAATTCACTTCACCACAACTTTCCAAAAACAATCAGTCGGAAAGCAATACCAATTGTCGTTATCTTTACTTACATTCAATAGGCCACTGGTCACATACTTAAAGTCCTGTTGAAATATAACGTCAAAACCAACTTCCCCAAAAGCCCATATGAGATACTAAGAGTTTACAGCATTCGATGCTGCAAAGAATACATTAGAGAGACGAAAAATATCTAGCCTCAAAGAACATGAAAGAGCCTTAAGACTATAACAAATAAACTCATCAGCAGTTGGCGAACACAAACATGATACGGGACAACCAACATGGGAATCAGTTATCCGAAGTGCCCCTCCTTCAGCTCGGCCTCTTAAAATAGTATATACGCAGGTGCAGAGTAGAATTGGAGCCAGTTTAAGTTAAGCCCTAAAGAAGTAAACAGGATGATTAATGTTGACGTTAATTTTTTAAATTTCTGAATGTGATTTTGGGTAGAAGATAAAAGAAGAAAGTCACTGAACCCATTATCAAAAGACCTTACTTCTGCTGTTCTCTCTAATAATTTCCACATTAGAGATATTAAGCGTTTCATCACAAAATACACTTCTCCACAAGCTTTAAAAAACCATGAGTCCAAAACAACACCAATTTTCATTGTCTTTAATTACATTCAATAGGCAACTGGTCACATATTAAAAGTACTGTTGAAATATAACGTCAAAACCAACTTGCCCAAAATTCCATAGCCTTAAGACTATGACAAATAAATTCATCAGCAGTTGCCGAAGACAAGCACGATACGGGACAACCAATATGGGAATCAGTCATCCGATATGCCCCTCCTTTAGCTCCGCTTCCTTAAACAGTATATAAGCAGGTACAGAATAGAATGCAAGCCAGTTTAAGTCATGCTCTAAAGAAGTAAGCAGGTACGATGTATCTACGACAATTTTTGATGCTACGAAATTCCCGTCGAACAATCGACCAAACAAAATTTCATTACGAAGTCTCGGGGACGTTGCTTTCTGAAAATCGCAGTTAAAGTTAAGCCGGTTTAATGCACTGGAAAAAGCCTTTGACGAGCGAGCCAGAAAACCTTTCCCGATAAACCGCGTGAGAGCGAGTTAGCGTCAAAGGGCGGAAACCGCGCGTTAATGAAAAGCGTCGCGGCAAAAGAAAAAATTAAGCCTCACCCCTTGGAGATGCTGTTCAAAAGTTCCGGTTTCATCTCCTTCGCTATTTTAATTAACAGCTCGGGATCGATGGGCGGCTCGTATAATTTCTCCTCGATGGTTTTGTGTAGGCAGTTGGAGTACGCGGTCGATACCTGGACGAAGGCCTTCAGGGAGGTCGCCCCCTTCATCACCTCCAGGAGTTCCGCCGTGCCGTTGACGTTTGTCATCACGGCGTCGGCCAGGCTGGCGTTCATGTTGAGCGAAGCCCCGCAGTGAAACACTATGTTGATCTGCGGGTGGTAAGCGTGGCGTTGTTATTACTGTGAGGGGCATAGCATAGCATATTTCGCCCTAAAGTCTTTACTTTAGACACTATTTAAACCAGAATGTAAAAATAATACTTTGCGAATCTTTCTGTCTTTTACATTTTAACTTCTGTGACAATTTATAAGAAAGCTGCATCGATTCCTACCGCTTTATACAGTTTCTGAGAAATTTGAGAAAACATCATAATGTTTGCAAAGTCCATAACAAGATAAATATGAAGTTGCGGTAAACGGTCTTTGATTCACGAGTGTTTAATAAACGAGTGAGTCAAAAAGGGTACATTTTTCGCAAAACAACACGAATATATTCACTGACATGACCGTCAGAATTGACAAACGTCAAAAATCAAGGCGTGGGAAATATATCCGAAAACATCCGATTGCTCGCAAACCCGTGCGGTAAAATCCCGGAAATATCCGAAGGAGCTAGGATCCGTGGGAAACGAGACTGACGCGGTAAAGTGGCGCTTGCCGCACCCTAATTTATCTTTCGATGACCAAAACCAAACTTTGATATCGCGTTCGAAAAATATATATTTTTCTTTTAAATTAATTTCAATTATACGAAAGAGTATATTTTAGTATATTTTACTAGTAGTACTGTAGTAGTATTTTAGCGTATTGTTTATATTTTGGTTAATTTCCCAGTTATCAGGAACGAAGCAAATGGCCAAGGTTTTGCGATTAGGCACGAAATTACGCACGTCACTATTTGCAAACGATTAGCAAAATTGCAAAACACACGATACGCGTGTATCGTTTCTATTTAATTGTAACCAACTCCAAGGCGTGCTTCTAAGATAAAAAAATTAAATAGACCTTAGCAGAAGTAGTCAAAGTGCTGCTTATATTATAAGTATATCATACCAATGTTACGAAAATACTTGAATAGCTAATGAACAAAAGCTCAGGGAAAAGTCAGTCTAAAATTAGCCAAGATTCTTAGATTGAACTGAGGTGACTTTTACTTGATGAAAATCCATTTAAAAAAATAAATAAGTACTAAAAGTTCAGATTTTCACGAAATTATATATTCTCACATGACAATTGTTTCGACAACACCCTGTCTTTATCAAATGTAATATTTACAAACTACCTATATACCGAAAAATGATACTAAAACCTTAATTAATGTTGTGTAAATAATGGAGAGGTAATTAAATCTAATTGATCATTAAGCAATACATTTGAATGACTCATTTTGTTAATCTCCTGGCTTCCAATAAAGTTACTTTTCTACTTTTTGTGGCTGTAAGTAAAATATCAAAATTGTCGTCAAAAATTTGTGTTTTTTGTGTTTAAATGTGTAGCATAATTAGAATCTAGACTATTGTTTTTAAACGCTCTTTTATGTTCATTAATGCCTTTCTTGAAGGCTCTACCTGTTTGTCAAATATAAATTTTATTTTGTTTTATTGTTTTTTAAAAATTTTCCTATTGTGTTGTTAGTTCTAAAAGCTATTTTTAAACCGCATTTTGACAAATGTTTTGAAACTTTTTCACTGGGTTCTCCTATGTATGTAATTGTTTTAAATTGTTCGTGTTCTGTATTAGGTTTCCGATAAATAGAGTTTACTGTTGTCTGGATTTGTTTTTTATTTATAATTTTATCGATATTGGACGGATTGTAGCCGTTGTTCAGTGCAATTTGTTTAATTTGTTAAATAAAACAAGCAAAGACATCATCCACGTATCTATACCACCATACCACTTTTACCACTTTTTTGTTAAACAGTTTAACTGCTAACTACTTGTCACTAAATAGTGTGGAGTTAGTTATTACTCCCTTGACTTGTCTTTGATATAACTCGGTAGGATCGCGTTTGATACATTGGAAAAGTTCTGGTTTAAGAAAATTGTTGGTTTTCGAAATATATTCTGGGAGATCGATAGCTATAACTGTCCTTTTATCTGCACGTATAAATATTATGTTATTCTCACAACAACATTAATTAAGGCTTTATTGTCATTTTGACACGGTGTGAAAATCTGAACTTTTAGTTCTTATTTATTTTGCAAGATTCTTAGTTTTACATTTTTGGTATTACTAAGCATGTTTTATCTTTGGTATTCCAACACTTCATTCCATACCATTTTGTTGCAGTAATTTGGCCAAGCCGCAGTAGAATTATAAAACATCAACGGTGTCATGTAAACACTTCTGAAAAGATTGTTATATGGAAAAATATATAGGGCATTACATTTTTTATGTAATACTGGAGAATATATCTTTCGTTTAAAAAAAAAAACAAAATAGTGTTAGATCAGGGAAAGATCACTTCGCTTATGAAAAAAAAGCAACCAAAACGCCGCATGGTTACGAGAACGTATTCAAAGTAGTCTCGGTTTCTTTCGAACGCGGCCGCTATATACTAGAATGAGTAACGAGGACGATATTTCCGGGACGGGCATTTTAAACATAAGCGACAAATTGGAGACAAGAAGAAAAAAAACGTCCATTCAGCGATCTGCGTATTCGAGCGCTTCCTATTGCGTCCTTTCTACGATACGTGTTGCTTTTCAATTTTTCCGTTTTCTCGTGCGCCTTCTTACCGCTTAGCGCTTTTTAAACCAGCCCGCAGCCATCGAAAATGAAAAAAGATGTTGCAGGCCAAATTTACTCCAAATATGAATATTAACTTTTGATATACAGTCGAAACTCTATATAGCGAAATTTCGCTCACGTCGTTGCGACGAAAACGTGTGTTACTTTGCTCCTGAAATATCGTTGTATTTTGACTGTTTAAAGCTGTAAAAAGGCTGAAATTTGCCGTCGAAGTGTGTTATAGTGCCTGCTGCTGAGCTCGGACGACAATTTTTTGCCAGTACTACAAAAAACCATCTCACGTTATCGAGATTTAAAACACACTAAATCTGAACTAATGCACAATAACAGAAAACAATATTCAGTTGGCAAAGGTAAAGCATGTCAGGGATGGCGGTATATTGGTGGGCTGCAAGTCCAAGGAAGAGAATGAGAAGGTTAGAAGGCTGGTTGAGGAGACGATGTCTGCATCATATGCTGCCAAAGAAGTTGCTGGGGTCTTGCGGGAATTAATTATTAACTGTAATTCTGATGTAAAATTGTGAAAGTATTTCCAACTAAGAAAAATGACAAAGTTTTAAAATCAATTATTGAAATAAAAGTTGAACTGTGGTGACTTTTACTTGATGAAGAACAAAAAGTTCAGATTTTCACGAAATTATATATTTTAACATGACAATTGTTTCGACAACACCGTGTCTTTGTCAAATGTAATATTTACAAACTACCTGCTACTGTATATACCGAAAAATGACCATAAAATCTTAATTAAAGTCGGTGCGAGAATTTACAGTTCAATAAAGGAGAAGTATTTAAATCTAATTGATCGTGAAGCAATACATTTGAATTTCTCATTTTGTTAATCTCCATGACTTCCAATAAATTTAATTTTCTACTTTTTGTAGCTGTGTGTAATATATCAAAATTGTCGCCAAAAATGTGTTTTTCTGTGTTCAAGTGTGTTGCATAATTAGAATCTAGACTATTGTTTTTAAACGCTCTTTTATGTTGGTTAATGCGTTTCTTGAAGGATCTACCTATCTATTTTAGGACATGATCCACATTTCAACCTGTTTTAAATTGTTCGTGTTCCGTATTAGGTTTCGGATAAATAGAGTTTACTGTTGTCTGTATTTGTTTTTTATTTATAATTTTATCTATAATAGACAGTTGTAGCCGTTGTTCAGTGCAATTTGTTTAATGATATTAAGTTCTTTGTTGTAATTTTCTGTTGAGAGTGGCGTATTAAGAAGTCTGTGTATAAAAAAGTTAAAGGTTAATGGTGATTTGAGCTGAGCTGTTATGTATGACTGTGTCCGTGTGTGAATGTTTATGATATATATGTTATATATCCATTATAGATAAAATTATAAATAAAAAACAAATACAGACAAATATTACAGCCAGCTACTCGCAGTTTTGTGGCGATACCTTCAGGATGGTCGCTGAGGGTGAAGCTTACTTCCGGAAACTTCTTAAAGCCCGATACTTCCATCCTTTTTTATTTGTTTATTAGCATAGTCTTATTCAGTCCTACACGAATTATTGAAAACTTGTCATTGTATACCATTCCCGTAGGTTCTTGAGCCAAGACGTTCTTCTTCTACCAGATTTACTGCCAATTTTTCGTTGCACAATCATGTGGAGCAGATCCTATTTTCCTGTCATCAAAGTACTCTTTCGCTTTTCTTAGTATCTTCGCTATTTCCAACTCCTTGTGAGTCACGGGGTCTAACCTTTTCCACTCAGCTGATCTTCATCAGGTGTTGATATCTACATACTGCTGTTCAAACCTCCATACCGTAGGGAAGAACAGAGACCACCTTCTACGGATGGGTCCCAGTGTTCTTTATGATGCTCCCTAAATATGTAAGTGTGTTACCGCTTTCTAAAGCTGTATCATTAATAGCTACGTCTTCTCTACAAACTGTTCACTCTTTTCAGTTGGTTTGCTAAGGCTGGAAGCAATAATAATAATAATACTTATACATTTATTAAATATTATTAAATAACAAAATAAAAATGCTTTAGCCATTTAGAAATTTTATATAACGCTCAAATTTTATTATTAATTAGTTAGATTCTGAAGGATAGAATGAATAGAGTTAACGTGTTTTTTTTATGTTTTAATTATGTTAAAATAGAAGAAATTCATGTGTAATTTGCATCGAAGGTACATAATGAGCCAACGAGTGGCAGCCATATACGGGGAGACGTGATCCCTCCTCCTTACTTCGCGAGAGAACTTTCCGGATACGGAAGGATTGCCAGTATCCAAACATGGTCCGTATGCAGCACTGCCGTGATTAAACTGCGACAGGACAAGTGATTCACACATCAGCCTACGAGTTCGCTGACAAAGATAATCTCTATTACCATCAATTAATTTCAAATTAGCATAGACCGCAACTGTGAATCA